TGGTTGAATTCGTACGTCTTCGTAGCCCGTGCTCCGAATCTGCAGAGTGAGAGTCGACTCCTGGCCACAAATCTCGCCAGTCTTTGCAAAGTCGACGAGAGAGACCTCGACCCCATATGGATGTGTGCCCAAGCTGCACCACACTCAGCCTTTTAGCACGACTGGCTAATCAGTAAAGAGGCTGTTACAGGGTCTTGGGCTAGAGACCTTCACACCAACTTGCGTAGCACTATACACCCGCAGCGTTACCCAGGAACGTGTCGTGTCGGTGGCCGCATGGGTTGTTGTTCCTCAGTGGGGGGAGAGGGGGTGTGTGCATCCACGCACGATGTTGACAGAACAGCCATGGGGCGCAAAGTACGGATACCCAATGCAAGTATACAAGCCTCTTTGACCTTTTTCTTTTTCTATTTTTGAAAAATCTATACCCAAGCGATGACGATTGTTGGCCAGTAAAGGCAACCGTCATTGTTGGTCTCGGAAGTCCCACTGCGGGTTGGGCCTTAAGTCAATGCAAGCCAGACGTGGACGAGCGAGGGCCGAATGAGGCGGCCTTCTTTTCGATCAAGTATAAGTTAGCTCGGATACCCAAGCGTCTTCCTTTGTCTACCGGTTGTTTTATATCCTCAAGTGTACTGCACCGCATCGCTTTATCCCAGTCGACTCGTGCGATTGTTCGGTCTGCCGCATCTTGCCACACTCCAGGCCAGAGCCTTGGTGTTTACCGTTGTCCCTGTCAACCAGTAAGTGGTGCTGTACCTTTTGTTCTCTCCAAAGAGTTGCCTGGAGGCGGACCCTCCCGAAAGTGCTCGCCCGTCAGTCTCTAGGATCGCTGGGTGGGTTCCGTTGCTAAGTTGACTGGCTGACATGTTAAGTTAAGACCACTCGCCGGCTTTTAGTCGTCACCCTCCTCAACCTCCCGTACCTATCTTCGCCTGGGTCTGTCTTTGCTGAAGCTCTCGGCCGATACTTGCCTGACCATGTGCTACTTTGAGATGACGCTCTGGAGCTGTGGCTACTGGCGCTGGGGTCACTTCCGTCAACAATGCAACAAGGAGTATCGCATGGGCGAGACCTGCGGCCTCAAGTTGGTGTATGACACAAAACGCGAATCCGACATCTGCAAGCTCTGCCACGACATCGAGAAGAAGCAGCGACGCTATGACAAGATGGCTCGCGACGTTGAGCGCTGGCAGCGTGAGGGCAACCGCCGGGCAACGATTGAGAGGACTTGTGGAGAAATGCGAGAGGTGGCGGATCAAATTTACCGCATGAGAGAGGAGCATTACCAGAGAACTTCGACCCTCGGACAGGTATGTACCGGAAAAGCCTTGCCGCGCAAGGGATTCCATGCTGCGAGGTCTTCATCTTGGTGCCTGCGATTAGGGCCGCTGACAAAATTTTGCTCAAAGTGACGAGACCCTCGAGTTGTGTAACGACAAAATTCAACAAGTTGTGGTGACCCCTCACCAGCCGACCGAATTGATCGACCTAAATGTGTGGCATAAGTAAGCAGGCAATGCGGCGGAACAGAGCACGCTCTGCCAGCAAAGTCAGATTTGCTGCGGGTTGTCGGCGAAATGGACCAGTCATCTGCCGGACCGCGAGACATTTTGTTATTTGGAGATGAATTGGACGAAGAGTTTTCCTTGTATGCAACGTTATTTCATAGTAGTAGTATGATCGTCAATCACAGATTGCATAATTCGCACTCGGACCAGAAAATAGGGCTCGTCGAGAGCAGTGTACCCAGGGTCTGTGACAGAAGAGTGGTAATGGTGTGCCGAGGCCAAGCGCTATGAATTGCAATTCAGGAGACGCGGTGGCTGCATATGCACAAAAGATTGCGAAAAACCTTGATCCGGGCCGTATTGACTGACGACAAATTAGTTGCAGGCCCGCATATGCGAGTTGAAATCGTCCCCAGAGCAGCCCGCTGCTGCTGGGATGCTACCGTGTTGCGTCAATGGGCCGCCGAAAGCTTTCTGATAGGGCTTGAAAGCCCCAGTGAGCAGCGTTCTACCTGCCTTGAGCTTTAGAATGGACAAGCGAGCGTGGATGGCCTGACTTGTTCGCTTGGCTTGCCCGAAAAGGTCGCGTAATACCACTGTCATGCTAGCAGCTGGGCAGACAGATAGACTGCACGACGAGAAAGCCGTTTGCAAAAGCGCCCCCCCTGTCTCCCCCCGTTAAGCTTTTTCGCTCGCGAGTTCTCCGTAATTGTCGCCGCGACAATCCGGCCGACTGAGCCCAGCGCGTCGGCTGGAAGCCCCGTGATTAGCCCAAGACGCACCTTTTGCTGCCCTACCCGCTCGTTCGCATGGTGGAGAATTGCTGCTACAGACGTCCTTGGACGAGCCTTGCCTCGCCAGCAGCGGCATGCCTGCCCAAGACGGAGAGGCCACCACGAGTTGACTTGGTGGACAAGTGCGCCCCGCTGTCGGGATGGCGTAGAACAACGGTGGAACAGGGGCCAGGCGGGAAGACTGAGTGACACGCCAAGCTTTTGTCCCAGATGCGGGCGCGCTTCTCATCTCGGTCGCTGATCCAGAGCCTCGACGGATACTCGAGAGGCGTCCCGTCCCGACATCCTGGAACCAGCCTGGCGCAGTCCCGGTCCCGATGACTTGGTCCTGGGTTGTTATGCTCTCCGAGGGGTTGGATAATGCGCGGGACGCTCCGTCTACCCCTTGTCCGAACCATTGAGCGGCCCCATTCCACTTGTGCGACTAATGAGCGGTGCGAGCCGTCGCCGCTGGTGAAAAACAGGGCTAGTTGAATGGAGATTTGAGCCTATCCTTGTAGACTAACCGACTCCGCTGACGTTGTTGCGCACGTGTCCGGCAGTTGAGGCAGTAAAGGATTGTTGCGGTGAAGAAATGCCGATTCGCTAATAAACTTTGGTACCTTATTAAGTACTTGCAAGTCGCCCAAGCCGACGGCTTGCTTTTGCCATGTGTTTCAAGCGCTGTATACAGGAGCCATGCATCGTGTTAATCCCGGGGTATCGGTTCCACCGTTTCAGCATCGGGATCGGGTTTTGAGTTTGACGTTATTTTGTTTATTTGACAGCTATCATTTGTACCGAGTGTTCTTTGATTCTTTCATTTTGGGCTGAAATCTGATGTGTTGACTGACATTGCCCAGAAAGCTGAAAGCCTATTACGAGCACGGTGAAGTCGGGCCCGGTGAATCTATCGTTGCGCTCTGCCGCGAGGCTGAGAAAGATGGCTGATTCTTGAAGAAATTCTGGTTCATATGGTGTACAGCGAAAGGAAAAACAGTGAGTGTCGTTTCGTCCCGTCGTGCCTCGCACAACGGAATGTAAAAAATTAAATAATTGTACATGAAATATAGTTATAGTCGCAGATGCACAGCGGTCGCGGCTTAATTCATCGCCGCGGCTGCATCGGCAAAGGTTCCGACAAGCGCACCATGGTCGTTGTCTAATGTCTTGAGGCTCATGGGACGTTCGCCTTGCGGGTCATCCTCAGTGAACCAGTCGATTTTGATGCCGGCGGCCCGGTCGACATTTTCGGACGATAGTTTTGATACGAGGTGCTGGTACCGCGCGACTCGGGCACCTTGTCCAGGGTACCCGAATCCACTGGACGGTCCGCCGTTAGGATGGTGAGGTGCTATTTCGAATATATCAACCATATTGCTGAAAAACAAAAAGTTAGCGATTGTCAAACAGCGCCAAGGAGAATTAGATTTGGAGCCTGGCGGCTGGATTTTAGCCGCCAGGCCAACGCGTTTCTCGTAGGGCAGCGACATTTCTTCCTGCATCTTCTCACACTCCTCACCTTGATGTTTTGGCAACTACTTGCTGCAAAGCCTCATTTTCACGTTGGGCCTCGATGGAGTCGTCCCCAGCATGTCCTTCTGCGAAACTGCCGTATTGCATCGGATTGTCATCGTCGTATAATAATCTATTCTCCTCGTGCTGTGTTTTCACGGTTAAAATGTGTGGGAATGAAAGACTTTTCGCAAGAGCGCATACCTCGTCGTATGTGTCGTTGTGCCGCTGCCCGAAACATGAATGGCAGGCACCCATAGTGACTGGATATGGCGTAGAGGTGGGCGACGCGGTCGCGGCGAAGATTCGAAGGCCGGTCGGCGCAGAGAGGTGCTAGTTCATGCCAGGTAGTCGTTCAATATAGGGACTGTGTCGAAGGAGAATTTGGTTTAAAGAGACTCGCTGTTTCACAAATGCCTTTCTGATCATGGCAAGCAGCTGGCGCAATCGCCAAGGCCGAAAGGCAAGGCAAGCGCCGGCACTGGAAGATAAATGTTCCGCCCTTATCCCGCCTAAGCGTTTTAGGCTTGACGCCAAGTTATACTCACCATCCAACTTCTAGTTATCTCCATCTACACAAAAAGCTTTTGGCTATAGGTCTCAAGATTTTTGCATAATTACGCTAAAATTCAATTGCACTTCCTTCTTCCTCCGCCCTTCTACTCGTCCGCCCACCCGCAATGCCTACTCCGCGACGGGCTAGTTCCCCCTTCCAATACTTTTTGCTGGGGCTGTCTCCCTCCTCTCGCTCGCTAGTACCAATAATGGTTCGATACTAACATGTCGAATGGGTCGAGGGGCTGCTGCTGTATTGCTAACGGATGCGGTCATTGGAAAAGTAGCACGCGCAGAGTCTTTTTGTTGTTGCGGACCTTAACGGTGAAGAACGTTCGACGTCTCCGCTTGATTGCTTGCCGTAGCGCACCGTTGGCCGGCGCCGTCAAGACACAGCAAGACACGCCCCCTTGATATTGCCATTGCATTCTCACTGGCCTGCTTGAATCGCCGACAATAAGAAGAACAACGAAACATGGCGCTACGGCCCGGAAGACAGAAGAGGGAGAGGGCATATAAGGTGCCTTTGCGTTCACTGACCATGAACAGACTGGGCACACACTTCGCTTACCATCATAGGTGTCTAACAGCAATAAAGCTCTCTACTACCGACCGCCGTCTTTCTGAACTTGCCTTCTGTTTCACAATGCAATTCATCATCCCCCCTTTGGTGCTGCTGGCAGCTGTTCCTTTGACGGCAGCTCGGTACAGTCCTTTGCTTCTTCGTGCCCGGGCTGATGGACGCCCCCTCTACTTCAACGGCACGACGCTTACAGTCACACAACCGGCTCCCACAAGCGCTCCTATCACGATTACGGTGGTCCGGCCTGTCCCGACTGAAACTGTTACCGCCACCGTTACCGCCACTGTCACCGTCACGCAGACGCCTCCTCCCCAACAGCTATATGCAGTGAGCAAGGCGAGCGCAGCGTACCCCCAGCCCGACCCTTGCGAGGAGCCTGCCGACTTCTCTTCTACGCCGGAGCAGCCTCATCGACTCTATGTCACCAAAACCATCCTCCTCGCTCCAAACAAGTTCAAGCAGCCCGGGACCGTCACCGTCCTGCAGAGCGGAAGCGCCAATGCTGCCAGTGAGGTTACTGCCACCACTGTTACCGTTCGACCTGTGCCAGCCGTGAGCTCGTCGCTCCCTGAGAAATTTGAGACGATAGTCAAGACCGCCATAAACTCTCCTGAACCGGCCAAGGAACCTGCGGCGGTAACCAGCCAACCGGAACAAGAGGTCGAGCCGGTGGCCACCGTCGTCTTTGATGACCCCTGCCCGTCGGTCACGACTAACACGGCCGCTGCTTTCAACACTGTCCTGGCCACCTTCAGTCGATATCCTATTCAGAACGTGACCGCGATTCCTAGCCTGAACACGACCGCGGCGACTTTGCCTGGCGGTGTTGCGCAGTCCAGTGGAAACCAGCCGCCCGCCGTCCGCTCGGCTCCGGTTCGCCGGCGCTGGTAGTCGGAACCGACAGCGACCCTTCATTCTCTTCTCTCCCGTTCCATCTTCACTTTATCAAAATCACATGTAAAAGCGCGGACCGCAATTCGAGCGCATCTGCTTGAAAGATAATCCTATAACGTTGTAATGCATAGCTGTATAACCGTCCATTACGTCCATAGATGTAGCCTCATAATGAGAAACAAAGTCATCATATTCTTCGCTTCCCTCTCCCCCTTTCCGATCTAGACCCAGTTGGCACGAATCACATCCGCGATGACTCCATGATCCTCCTCCTGCTTCAGCCCGCTCACCACCACCACCGCCACAATACCCTCCGCGCCCTCCACCCTAATCGGCACCCCGCCACCATGTATCGCGTACTCGCCCGCCCCCTCCGGCCCCAGCCCATTCTTCTTCGCGAACAGCGCCTCGTCGCCGCCGCCGTGCTTGCGCCCCACCATGTACGAGCTCATCCCGAAGCGCAGCACCGCCGCGCGCTTCCGCCGCACCCACGCCTCGTGGTCCGGCAGCAAGCCCGAGCCGGTCACGCTCTGGTACAGCGTGGGCCCGCCGGCGGAGGCCGAGGCGATGTTGACGAGGGCGACGCGCGAGGGCGCGAAGCACAGCAGGCGCGCGTGGATCAGGTGGCCCAGCTCCCAGGCGTCGGCGGCGGTGAAGGAGGAGAGCACGAAGCCCTTGCCGCCAAAGTCGGTGGCGGCAAGCTCCTCAAACTGCGTGGGTTGTGTGAGTAACGATGACGATGGCATGCTAGGGGAGACTGGCGCGAAACGTACAGTGGCCGGGGGCGACGGGATCGGCACCTCCGGGCCCGGGTTCCTGGTCGCCGCGAGGACCTGCTCGAGGCCGTGACCAGCATCAAAATTTCTCTTCCAGACTTTTTGCGACATGATTTCCCTTTTTTTTTTTCGATATGACTTCGATTTGATTCAACTATAGGTAGCAAAGGAAGAAAAAACAGACGATATGTCATGGGGCCGAGAGGGGTTAAAGCTCATAATTAAAAGCCAAACTAGTTTCCTGCAGACTCTCTTGACATGCAACGTTCCAGTTTTTGAGCTATTTTTTTAAAGCTTGATGGACGGCAACCCCATCGGACCGGCAAGCCACAACCGGGCTGTAACTCAAGGTAACAACTGCCCACGTACGTTCCGGCCACCGGCCTCCCGAATTGAGTTTGGGCGCGACGCCGCCGAGTCCCCGGCTCCACCGGTTGTAGGAGCCTGGGACCCGGCCGACTTCGGCTGGGGTTGTATTAATAATGCCATTGCGCCGGCGATCATGTACTTGGGATTCATGAAATGGATTGTTCATTTTACATAAAAACAAGGCATCTTGAGCAAGTATATGTGTTTGTCATCCATTATACAATCGTCCGCCGCTTTTCCGAGCAAGTATAATTTTCACCAGCATTAACATTCTTAAAACATGAATCTCAAAAGGCAAAGACATGACAATTCCGGTTTCGTGTTCCCGGCTGAACATTTCCATTTAAATCAGTTTCCGTCACCAATCAAAGCAGGCAGTCATGGCTCCTGTTTGGCTCGCATCTGCAAGTCGAAAGCTAAGGTCGGAGACACATGCGATTTTTTCTAAGCCTCGCCGCTAGCGATCTCACTTGTCGTCTGAGAGTCCTCCATGAGTATGTCTCTGTCTCGTGCCAAGAAGGAAACGGACGCCGTGCTTGCGTCGTAAATGCTCTCATCCAGGCCCGGGTTGCCCTCGAGGGCCTGGATCGTCTCCAGCGCACGCACAAACTTCTCCCGCTCGGACTTCAGCGCCTCCCGCTTGGCCGCCGTGGCCGTGTCTTCATCCATCAAGCGCTGGTAGGCGGCGGCAGCGTTGCCGCCCTGGAGGTCAAGTCGACTCCGCAGCTCAAAGTCGAGACGCATGCGAATGTCTGGCAACATGCCGCACAGCGTCAGCTGCGACATGCGGTCCACAAACCTGAGCGCGGCGAGGCGGTAGTAGCCTCTAACGTACGACACTACCATAACCTCGTCAGCGAAGGCATCAGGACCGAGCTTCACCGTCTCCTTCTCCTGCTCTCTCGTTTCTTGTAGTCTTTGTTCGTCGTTCATGGTCGCCCAGTTGCCTGGTCGGACTGGCATCTCAGGAAAGCGGGCTTGGCATCGCATTCGGTGTCGAAACCACTTGAGCTCTTTCTCCTCCATTTCTTTATACAACTTAAAAGTGTCGTCTTGGAATGTGATGAGCTGCCGAGTCTCGTGCTTAAGTACGAGATCGGCCATCTCCTGTGTCTTTTGTAGTTGCTCTTTGAGGAACTGCAATAGGTGCTCGGCAGTCTCGCGGTAAATCAGCCTTTTTCGTAGACGGTGCAATGACAAATCCAGCTTCTCTCGAAGCTTTTCGTGCAACTGCCCCATGGTGGCTCTCAAGAATGTATGGGTTGGTTGTTCCCAGACCTTGATGGATTCAACCGCCATGTCCTGGTAGACATCTGGCGGGATGACGTCAGGTGTACCAGCCTGCATTTTTCCTTGAATATCTTTCTTGACTTGGGCCAGGGTACGGAAGCCACTTCCCAGCGCGCTATACTCTGTAAATGGCGGAGGGGGCCTAAACTTCTTCGCGCGAGGCGCTGCCGCAGATATAGAAGAAGATGGGCTGGCTGTTTCTTCTCGCTTGAGGTTTGAGACGTGCCCGTTGGGGACGTTGTTGCTATTCTCGAGTCGGACACGCTTTGATGATGGTGTGATTTGTCCGACACCTTGCCGTCGCTTGCTGGGGGTTGCTGTCGGCAGCGGAGCTGCATCTGAGTCGTCGTCGGATATCTCAACCACGGGGGTATCGCTCCTATCCTTGAGGGTGAATTTTGGTTTGATATGTAGCAAGCAATCGCGGAAATCTTTTGGAAGGATGCTTCCGAACTTGATTAGCTCATCGATGCCTTGACGGCAGCTTTCGGAGAACTCCATTAGGCAGCTTTCCACCTCGAGTTCGATGTTGTCAGGCAGCTCCGGAAGAGCACCGAGCTTCTTTTTGACCACCTCCAGGTGGTTGGCGACCTTGCGTTTGATAGTTGGCAAACTGAACCCATATTAGTATGTGCGCAACAAAAAGAGGGAGGCAATGCATACCTGCTTGCGAATGCATCCGCCAATTTCTCTGACAAGAAGGTTTTAAGCCTTTCCACCCCGCATCGGCTACTAAACTGATGGAAATCGCTAGGCCATGCTTCCACGCCGTGCTCGACAAACATGGCTTCCTCCCACTTGCTGAGCTCCTCGAGTGTCTTGCCTTGAGGGCGCGATGTGATGAAGTATCCAAGTCCTGTTTTATGGGCCTCTCCCTTCATAATAGACAGCCACTGGTCGTAGCTTCCACCGGAACTCAGCAAGTCAGCCTTGGTGAGAACACCGATCGTCCGAGCCGAGGCACCCAGCTTTCTGGTCAAACCGAACGTGCAAGAATTTTCGGCGTCCGAGTTCATAGGCATGCTGCACATGATGATTGCCGATGGATGCTGGATATATGCTTTAGATAGGTTGGTGACGACAGACACGAGGTAATCGTCGCGAGCGTCAGCCGGGTTTTGAAAAATGCCAGGCATGTCGTAGAAGGACAGGTTGGGCAGATCGGGACCCTTGATTTCCAGTGCAACAATATTGGGTGAAAATTTGGCCAGAGTCCGATCTGCTTCGAGTGAGATGGGCGTATTGGACGCAATGGAGCCCGATCCTGGCACATAGAGGGCAGGATTCTTGTTGTCGTTGAGAATGGCGATTTGCGCCCAGCGGAGCACCTCTTCAATTTCAGTGTTCTCATGCATGGTTTTGAACTCGATAATATCGGTCGTAGGCTGCTGTTTCCACGGGAAGAAGGGGTCCGCATCCGTCACGTCCGATTCCATAATGTTGCGATCCGTCGGAGGCGCATAAGTATATTGCTTCCGGAGCCAGACTCGGCAGGACCACTCCGGATTCATAGACACCCGAATATGCAGAGGGCATCGTGTGCATGTGCCCTCGCTCCGAGGTAAGTCGAGCTGAGCGAGGCCAGACATCAGGCTTGACTTGCCAGCGCTTTGATCGCCCACCAGAACGAGCTCGGGGAGCTGGACATCATGAGAAACGCCGAGTTGCTGCAACTCTCCGAGGGCATCATTGAAGGCCTTCAGTCTCTTGGCAATATCTCTGAAGGACTCTTGGAAGAAGCTTCCCTCTTCTTGCGGATTTAGTCCGGGAGGCGGCATCATGGGGACCACTCGCATTTCGCGCAGAAGCGGCTCAGCGTCGTCCGCACGATCGCTAGGCGTGGCTATGGATCTTGTCAGATGAGGATACGGGAAAGGAATTTGGGTGCCTGACACTTGCTCGAAGCAGCGTCTTTGCTTGGAGGCTTGGGCCTGTGAAAGAGAAAACTTACGGGCATCAGAACGGCCGTGACGATAGGAGAGTGGAGGTGCCATGCCAGGCGTATCTGTGGCAGCATCATCGAGTGAATGACCGCTGCCTGATCCGTACAGGCTGATTTGGTTGGTCTCGGAAGTGACTTCGTTGTCAGATGGAAGTGAATTGAGTGACTCGCGCTCTCTCTTGATGCCGTTGACGCGACGGCGGCTAGTGGTGGTGGTTGTAGACGACATCGCGACGATATGAGTTGCAATGTTCCTGCTTTTTTTTTTTTTAATTTTTTGCGCTTCTCACCAAGGAATGCTCATGTATAGAGCATTCCTGAAGAGGTGGTGTATAAGAGCACGGGTGTTAAAACCAGGGATTTGTGTAAGATGCAAACGAGGTGGCCGAATGTGTGCCAGGCAGCCAAGTTCCCCCGTTTGAAGCTGGGGCGGTGAAAGATTTGAGCAATTACAAAATAGATAATTAGCGAATGAACAGAAATGGCAGAAATAGGAGCGAGGTCATGAATCTGAAGGTGTTGTGAGAAGAATTGTTCGTCGTCGCGAGGAGCAGGAGCGAACTTTGACGACGCGCTCCATCGCCTCTCCATCGCCTGATAAAGGGTGATAGAGGGCCTGTCAACAGAGTGGCCACCAGAGCTCTGCACTTTGCCTTTCCCACGAATTAGTCTACTCTATAGAATTATTGCACAAAGTAGGCCATGAATACCGAGTTTTGAAGTATTCTGATATGAGCACACGGTTCACTAGACATGTAAACTCTCCTGTGCTAACAGGAATTATTGTTAACTGGAGTTGAACCCGAGATGCAGTCAACTCAGGGGCTTATTAAACAGGTGGCTGGGAGGACTTGGAGAAGGAGGTGGGCCGGGCGAGTGGGGGCGGCCCGTTGCGACGCCACACATCACAGAGACAAGCATCAAGCACAGAGATCTGTGGAATCGGAAACTCTAGAAATATTAAAATGTTGAATCGTTTTGCTCGTTCTTCTCTACTCTAAATAAATGCTCTCTTCATGGTATCAATCCGCGACGTGTACTGCTCTTAAAGCCTTTCCAGAAAAATAATGAGAATAAGCCAGACCCTTGCCTCCCAACCGCCACCAGCCAGATCATACATTTACAGAACAACGGTTCTGGAGAAACCTCATCTCCTCGCAACGTGATCGTAAGATCAAAATATACACCCACCCCATCTACAGCTGCTTTGCCAAGTTGGTACGGCTGACCTGGCGCGGCGTCGGCGCCGGGCTGCTCGGACGACTCGATGATAAGCCCTTAGCATCGAAAGGATCCATGTTGAGTCGCCTAGCATCAACACTTCGCGGGGTCGTGCCTGGGGTAAGCGTTCTCTCGATGGCCGGCTTTTCAAAGCTGGCGATCCGCAGAGGCGCTGGGCGTGAACGGCCGCGCTCGGGAGCACTGTACAGCCAAACGGCGGCCAGGACGAGCGACGTACCAATGAGAAACGTGGTGGTCACTGGAAAGTTGAATAGCCAGACACTGACAAAGAAGCTAACCACGATGCTGATGCCCGTGGCAAAGTTCTTGACGATATTATCGGCATCTCTAATGACGATGCTGGCAATCACACCTCCAACGGCCTGCAGCACAATAGTGCACCACACAACCCAGTTGTAGCCCTCGAAGAAGCCGTGCTCCAAGATCCCGGCCCCGTCCTGCCAAACAACGCCTCCAAAGAAAGCAGCAATGATCGAGTAGACGCCAAGCTGCAGATTTCGAATCCAGACACTGTTGTGGCAGGGAGACTCCTTGAGAATCTTCTCAAAGTATACACCCGCGAAGCCAGACACGGTGGCCGCGATGAGGACAGATGTCAGACCGACCGAGTAGTTCATGATTGGTTCCGACGGGAATCGGTCGCCGTCGATTCCCTCGTAGCTTGCCGACCGGCGGCTAAGGTGCGCGGGCGGCTCGCTATTCTCCATATCGGGCTGGAAGCCAAGCTCGTGCTGAGATCGCGGGAAGAAGTGGTCGGCAACATTGTGGAGGAAGATAGACTCGATCGATTCGCCGGCGGAGGGAAGTGAGACAACGGATACGCCGATTGTAAGAATGATGAGAGAAACCCAGCGCGTGACCCCCAGATAGCGGTTCAGGAGGCAGACGCTGAAGACTGCTGTGGTGAGGATCTGGAACTGTGGTTAGATATATGTTCTCTGGCTGGGTTGTAGGCAGAATGGCGTACTTTGAGCTGGTACAGGACCTGGAAATGAACAGGGTCCAGGTTTCCAACGGCGACGTATTGTAGCAAGTTTTGTAGCGTATAGAAGACTGCCGGCAGAGCCAGCTTCCAACCGTCGCCGGAGAAGACTCCGTTGTAAATTTGTTCGAAAAGCACGGTGGCGGGTGTGCTAGGCGCCAGAGTCTTGGATGCTTCGTAAATCGCGACCGTGAGAGAAATGGCAAACTTGATGACTTCGTGTATCAATACTGCTGTCGAGGTAAAGTATCGGTGGTCGCCTGATGGGGGCATGATGCGGGAGTAGTGCATGATCTACGTCTGGATGTTAGTGGGAGGCGTGCTGAAAGTGAAAGTGAGGTCATCCCGACGTACGAGGATCAGTGCAGAGTTTTGAAACGTCAGCTGTTGGCCCAGTTAGTTTTGCCATTTGGGCTGCAGCTCGAAACAGCCAAGCATACCGTGATGAGAGAGATGTGTTTAGGGATCGATCCCGGCTTGGCGGCGGCGGCGCCACGTTCTGATAGAAACCCCATGCTGGCGGCTCTCTGGGAGTGATGTGGAATTGATGTAGGTGTAGAATGTGGCCTAGGAAAACGGCCAAAAGCTGCTAAAAGAGATGAAGGAATGACGCGGTGGCTGCAGCACCTGGTGCGTCCCTGTCGCGGTGTCGGTGCGACGCTTGCCTAGCAAGCAACGGGCAGTATCACAGGCTGCCTGTTGCACGTCGTCGGTCGATTGTTCGTGAGATGGGGGATCGAGAGCGAAGCGAAAAATTGTAGCAGTATTGGAGCAAGAAAGCAATCGTATAGGAAAGGCGGAGGATGTGATCAGGTCGTTTGCAGTCGGCTGGCAAAAAAAAAGCAGAGAGAAGAATATTGGGAAAAAGGAGTGGACTTGTCGAAACGGTGACCAAAGCGTCGGGAGCTATTCCGAACAAGGACGGGCTCAAACGGAACAGGGCTAGTGAGGAAGGATGGCAGAGAGAGAAGAAAAGGCAAGCTGGTAGGAGGATTGAAAATTTTATTGCTAGGTTGGCCGGTCGGTCAATGCCAGGTTTGAGGTAAATGCAAAAGCAAATGCAGGAAGCAGAAAGAAAAGTGAAGCTCTCCTGAAGGCGGAGCCGTCGCAAGGGATGTGCTCGGCCGGTCCGGTGGGGGAGGGCAGAGGCTTGGCTTGCGGGAGCGAGAAAGAGGCTTCGTTGTCGCCCAATCAATCGTCGATGCAGGTGTCGCGTGCCGCAGAATCGGGACCTACAGTAGTGGCTGGGCTGCGTGACAGAAGTAGAGAAAGAATGACACGGCAGCTGAGAGATGATTGTGAAGAAATGGAACGAACGAAAAATGCAAGAGAATCAAGCATTTATATTTTTGTCTATACCTCGTCATCCATCCTGCCTCTACCAGTAGAAACGGCGCCCTCTGGGGCCTCCCCATGTCCAGCTGCACTAGTTACCCTGTCGAGTCTTTGCAGCCACCCGTCATAGACGCAATGCAATGGGGTGCGTGCAGCTGCATTGCATGCCAGAAGTCCCCGCTGAAGCTGCAGCCATTTCAAGCTTTTTATTTCTGGGCACCGATTTCCAGCAGCCAGCAGCTCCCAATCACAGGTACCAAATCAGAGTCGGCTCGACAACCCCCGTAGATCCTTCCCCTTGGGACGGGTAGCACGGGTAGCACGGCCACTCTGGTCCCATTTACAGGGCGAGGCGATCCGTCCAGTCTCCAGTCGATCACCACGATTCTCGGACATTTGTCACCGCCAATCGAAACGAACCATGACCACCCTTAGCTGTTGGCTGTTGGCTGCTTCAGTATCGTCTCAACCACGTATCGAAAATAGAGGCCATTACTCGCAGCAGAGGCTGCCGGTCAAACTTAAAACTATCATCATGCCATCCCATGCAGAATGAATATGCATGCTCTTGGTATATACAGAGTATCTACAGCCATGGTAGAGCCACGAAGGGCACCGAACACCGATGTCTATATATTTATGCAGGTTTATAAAACAATTCAACCCAAATTCACCATCGAGGCTTGAAGTGTAATTATAAGTATAACAGTCTGCAGTCCCCAAATCAGCCATCTCTCCCCCATGGCGCGCTCTTGCTCTTACCCTCGCTCAGGCTCTCAGTAAGCGCCACACCGCGCGAGGCTCTGCTTCACCAGCCACAGCCAATCACGATGCCAACTACTAACAGCAACTCCTCAAACAAAATCTCAACATCTCAACATCTCCATCCCACTTTCAAGGCACTCCTCTCTTCCCTTCCATCCAATCGCTCTAATGTACAGCCATGCCGCCCCTTCTGCTACCCAGCCGCAGGACCTCCCGCCGCTCATCCGCAAGCAGCCGACAACCACCCTGGCTTCTTCGGTCATGATGCTTGTCGCGTCCGGCGGCGGCGGCGGAGCGTCGTACTACAACGGCGTCTGGAAGAATACCTTTCTAGCCGATGAGACGGCTGCCATCTACTGCCCTCTGTATGTCGCTCTAGCCACCAACCCTTGATTTTTCTTCTTCTAGTATTGTTTTTTCTGTTGTGGGCTTTTGCTGACTTGGCTTCCTCTCGCTGGGAGCAACTTTACCTCTACCTACACGCAGTTCAGCTCTAGCGGGAGCGCGGTGCAGACCGGCGAGTGCAGGCGCACCATCACCACAACGGAGTGGTATCACAGCTGCGGCACCTCAGGCTACGCGCCCCTCAGGGTCACCGGCGTCGGGAGCCAGCCCCACGGTCGGCCTCGTCGACGTGACCGCCGGCTCCACGACGACGCGCCAGTCGGGTACCGTGCCCTTTGGCGGCATGACTGCCGGCGCGCCGACGCTGCAGCTCAACTTTCGCCCCCAAGATGTCGGCTCGACCTCGTCCACCGCAGCCAGCGCCACTGACAGCAGCAGCGACACTAAATCTTCCTCCTCTTCTTCTTCTCCGAGTCTCGGAGGCGGCGCCATTGCCGGCATCGTCGTCGGCATCGTCGTCCTGCTAGCCGCGGTCGGCGCCGCGCTGCTCTTCTTCATCCTGCGACGGCGCCGACGACGTGGTGACGAGACCAAGACGGACGGCCACGTGCTAGACGGGAAGGACAGCAGCCCAGCCTCCGCGGCCAACGGCGGTGGCTATGAAAAGGCGGAGCTGGCGGGCAGCGGTGCGCAGACGCACACGGAGCTCGACACCCAGCAATCGCAACCACATCCCTTTGAGCTGGAAGGCAGCAGCGCTCAGCCGACACATTACGTCGAAATGGACAGCCCCGATCATCCGCAAGAACTCCGACAGAGATGACGGGGTCCTGGTGGGTCGTACAATTGTACACTCGTATCCTAGAGACTTTATTCTGCATCGATAGAGAGGACTGTGCTGGAAAATGTGCTCGCCGTCGTACTTGTTTCCCTCCTGGCCCAAACGTCTATCAAGGTCTCTGCCAATGCGCCATCTCGATCCATGCGACGGATCGGCAGCTTCGTGACGTGTTCTCCCGGAGCTGCGCCTCCCGGACCCGCGGCGATGTCTTACCTCTGCTCCTTTATGCCACGCCCCTCTCAATTCCCCTCGTCCTTTCTCTGGTTCCATTCTCGAGAGGGTCACGGCGATCCGCTTGGTCTCACCATGTCGAAGTAACTATCCAACAGTGGCTAGTCTTTCTAGTAACGTACTCTCAATCTCACGTTTCTACTACCGACAACTCATCGCCCCGTTGCTCGGGAAGATTACCCACTTCTGATCGGCAGCCTGCGGACGATCGAAATATTCCCAACCGCTGTTGTCGGTACGTACTTTGGCTTCATTTCCGTTCGCTCACTTTTCCCTTGATTCGCCGCTCTCTCTAGCTTGTAGATTCACACCCGCCGTGAATGATAGGTGGACACCAACGCCAGAACGCCTCACATCACATCAGGAAAGCATTCGGGCACAATGTGACTCGTGTTCAAAAACGTGATATTGCTAAAAGCTATCTCAGTCTATAGATGAATAGATGCCTGGCTCACACTTCCTCGATCTCATGTCAATCTAGCAAATTCGTCAGTGTTCAAATCAGACAGCAAAGCCAGCTATGTTACGCCGTTACCAGCCTCTCCCCAAGACAAAATTGCGCTCGTCAATGACTGTGTTCCCCGACCGAAGACCAGGCATGGTACTTTGCTTGCCAATGTCATTTGCGAGGTGGTCCCACAGCTCAAGCTGCCAAGTCATTGTAGACGAGAACTCGTCGGAGCTCTCGGAAGCATCAAGGGAGTGCAATTCGAGTACTTGGTGGTGAGACTCGTGAAGAAAATTCACTGCCGGTTCTGGTGTGTGTTCTGCTGGGCTCGCCTTCTCAAAAGCCGCCACACGCTTTCGAAAGATCCAGCCGCTCTTCTGGGGCAAAAGCCTATTCGCACTGATTGTTGGAACCGAAATGGCACGAGTGGTTCGCTGGCACAAGTTTCCGAAGCTGTCAAGACGATTGCGGAATCCTTGCCGGTAGGAGAGCCTAAGACTCATGATACTGTCTGCGCTTGTGGTCAAACGCAGCAGGCCGTCAAGCTTGGTTACAAAGTACTTCAATGTCGGAGACACATGCTCTTTCATCCAATACTGTATATCCTGTTGCAGATCAATCTTGAATAAAGAGAGGAAATACGCACTGCTTGCGTGGATATATCGGTATAGTCGTAGAAGTGCTGCAGCGCTATTGCCGAATCCTTCGCAGCATCCCGCAGTATTTGGGCAAGTTGCGCTAAGAGATGTGTTGCGTCCCAGGGTATTATTCTGGAAGAGGATATATTCAGGTAACTTGGCCCGACCTTTGAGGCAGCCTTGAGTCTGTTGTCAAAACATCAGCCGCATTTCATTACGAGCACCTGCAGGCGAGTCTTCGAACTCACATCCGGATCGACAAGCTGCATCTCACACGCGCCGACAAGAGAACTGGCCATCCCTGCCCCTTCTGTTCGCAAGTAAACTGCTTTCGCGCTGCTTGAATCTTCAGTGTATCGGATAAATGCGTCAGCTGCATCCAGTTGATAGTCTCTTGACTTCGTTTCGCTATGGAACTGTTGCATCGAGTCGACGTAAAGATCGGACCAAGGACATGTGGTATTCGGCATCACCAGGTTATCGTGCTGAACATATGATCCCTGTGCACATTGATACCCCGATTTGTCATACGAAGACACAGCAGTAACAGCAGACGACAGTATATCTTGACAGTTGCCATCCGATGCCACAGAAAATGGGCCACTTTGAACTTGGCAGCAGCATGGTGGGCTCCTGTCCATGTAGCTCAGACTTCTGACCCGGTTCAGCGTCGATAAAAGTCCAAGGAGTGAGAATGTCACCATCCAAAAGGGCGAGCTATCCTTGAGTCGGATTGAAGGAGTCCAGAGTTCCATTTTCGACCACGTTGGCTTTTAGTCGTGGGTCTTTGCCAAGGAGGTGCCAGATCGAGACCGAGTTGTTGATTCGGGGCGAGGAAGAGAAGAACCCATCAAGGGTGATTTGTGACTGGGAAAAAGGAACGGAGGTGAGCAGAGCTCCAGGGTGTTGCAAGTCTGTTGACGTGAACCAAAGGGGGAGCGGCGGGAAAGCGCAGGAACCAAAGGACGGGACAAAAAGTGCAATGCAAAGAGAGAGGGAGGGAGGGAGGAAGAAAATTCGCGTGTGGCGAAAGAAGAGAAATACTCGTTTTCGAAAACACTTGGCTGTTCGTTGCCTCACTCTTGCCAGTTGCCGGCCGGCGCCTTGCCAGCTGCCCATGTCACCGCGGTTTGCATACGAACAACTTTCTTCCAGACCGCCAGTAAAAGGCAAATGGCCCCCAGGAAGAGTTGAAACACGAGGCGAGTCGGCAGGGTAGCAAAGTCATTGATTATGTTTCAATTCGATAAAGTATCCAGCCTCCTAGCCATGTTTGAGCAACAATGGGAGGCAGCGCCGAGCTACAAACGCCGTCAAACGCCAGGATCCATTTCAACCATTACCACCAGAAAACACCGCAAACACCTCCTTCTACATCATAATACACGAAGTTCGTTCCAGCCCGTCTCGCATATCAGCCATCGGCAGCTAGCTTTCAACTTCCATGGAGTCAACGTCCGCTCCGGCACTGTTGCTCAGGTCAAGATCCAACAGCCTTGCATACTGGCCGGTAAGTCGTTGCAGTTCGCGGTATTTTCCTGTCATATAATTAGTACTGCCTTTTACAGCATAGAACGCGAAGTCTCTGCTTACCAAGAATTAGCACCACACCCTTCAACAGCTCCTTTCGATCCCAACCGCACAATTCGTCCGATTTGCTAAACCAGCCCTTCCCACCATCCGGATCTGCATCCCCGCCTTGGAGAATACCGCCAGCGATCGTGTTCAGTAGTTCTTCGACTTTTCCATGTGCGCCTTCGGCCCCCAGACGCTTTGCATACATGAACAGATATAGCCGGAATTCGTCACGAGCTTCCAGTTGCATCGCTCCGGCAATGCGATTCTCGAGATGCGCAATGCTGACCACGCTCTCCAGATCTTCTGAGTCCTTACGCTGAATGACGCTCTTGATGATGCGTTGCAGCGCGTATCCTCGGCCCTTGAGGAGGAATTCGTTGGTCGTATGACGTTCCAGGAATGGGATGATGCCGGACGAAACATCCACTGCTGGCTCCTCTGGCTCCTCCTCTTCTTGCTTTCTCCTACTCCTTCTCCTAGTAGACCTCGTCCTCGTCCTTGGCCCGACTGCGGTGGACTGCAAGGCGGAAATAGATGAATCAGTAGAGTTCCAGTACTGGGATCCAACGGCCCACCATGACTCGCTGAGGCGCTGCCAGGTGTACATTTCGCGCGCGTAATAATGGCCATCACCATTTGACATAGTCACAACAACATGGCCGGTCGAGTTAAGGTGGGCCGATGTAATCCCCGGACCAGGCGTGGCAGTGTGTTGGTCGAACGACGTGGTTGCAATATCAATGATTGGACCAAGCGACACGGGAGGATGTGGTGAGGACTGTGTCTTGATATTCCAAACGTGGGCCAGTCCCACGGCTGTAATGCACAGTAGCCAGTGATCCCGGCACTCAAGGATGACGGGTTGTGCTTCGAGGATGATGGGATTCAGAAGTCGACGTCCCGCGGGCGACCAAACGTGAATGGAGCCGTCTTCGCAGGCAGCAACCCAGAAGTTCTTATTTGCAGTAACTAAAATGACAGCGCGCGGCAGGAATTCATGCCAGAGCTCAGCACCGCGTTTCGAAACGCTAACCTTGGACGGATCACGGGGATTCACCTCATTCTTGGCTTCGAGCAGAAGGCTTTCAGTCGTCTTCGAAGCCGAGTCCTCAGGACCAAGAATTCCTCTATGCAGGGGTCGTACAATATGCGATCGTACTCGAGGCACGGCAAGCCTTACCGCCGCGACGGAGAATGATGGGTTAAGAACGGCAGGTCGCAAGTATTCTGGCGTAGGAAGCACACCGTTCTCAATGTTTGTGAGTACAGCCGGCTCGACGCCGTCTGCACCATTAGTCATAATGGCTGTCGGGCCGCCAGATGGACGCTTGGCGAGCGGCTCCTCTCCTTCGTCGGCGTCGGGCACCGCATTTTTGCGCTTGTTGCCTAGCAACATGGTCAAGATCCCGCCTTTAGGCAGGCCGTCAAAAGGTTTGCTAAGATCCAGAACTGTGAGTGGCGCATCATTCTGTGATGTTTTCGCTGCCGATGTCGAGCCAATCAGCTGCGTTTGAGGCAAGGAAGATTGGCCGGTACCCGACGATGATACCAACAGCGGAGCAACTCGTTTCTTGCCGTCCTTTCCGATAGTCACCCTAGATTTCAGCTCTTTCACCCGTTCCGCAGTTTTGTCCTCCTCGGGCTTCTCTGCGGAGTCGCCATTGCCTGCAGGTTTGGGTGTAGAATCGCCAGTCTGTGTGCCATTCGTGGCCGCAGATGCCTTGCTCTCGCCAGCCGGCATGTCCCCCATCAATGCACCCATGCGCGATTGCAAAGCCCTAGACTCGCCAGCTTTACTCTGGTCTTCTAACCTGAGGGCGTCAACATCCTCGGCAATGCCCATGCCTTTTCGAGAGACGCCATATTTCTGGAGTGCCCGGTCATTTTCTTCCTCTCGCGCGACCCAGCCGAGCTCGCCGTCCTCGAACCGGACAACGACAATACTACCGTCCAGGCTCGCTGCATATAGGGTCTCGCCGTCGGGCGTCCACGCCAAGTCTGAAACAGATTTCGCAGCGAGATCTTGCAAGATGACAACCGGCCGAGAAGTATTCGTGTTCCAAATGCTGAGTGTCTTGTCCTGTCCGGCGGATGCGATTACCGTAACGAGCTGCGACGTCTGGTCGCCATTGGCATCGCCCTCGCCTGGCTTCGAGGTGTGGAAGAGTCGGGGAGAGAACAAGCACACTTCGGTGGGTGCTTCGTGGCCAATCAAGTTGATTTCGCTATCCCATCGCGTACGCTCAATGATGGCGACCGAGCTGACGGGTCCATTCACGGCATTCGCAGCGGCGATATGGTTTCCGTCTGGGGACCAGGAGCAGCGTCGGAAGTAGGTTGTCAGCGGCGAGCTCTTAAAAGGAGAGCTAATTGTAGTTTCCAAGACAAAGTTGTTAATCATATCGTGTTGGGTCGAATTGGGGCCAGGGGACGTGAAGCGAAAGATCTTGATGGTTCGATCGTCACTGGCTGTCGCAAAGAACTTGTTGGCGGGATCAAAGGTGATGCCCTTGACATGCGACTGATGCGCAGGGAGCGATTTGAGCTTTTCAAACGTGTAGCCGGACCAAACGACAACCTTGGAGTCAAGGCCAACGGAGACGAGGATGGATGAGTCGTAGGACCAGGCCAGGTCCTGGACGTCGTTATCATGTCCGATGAGGCGCTTGTACGTCTTCCAGTTCTCGACGGGCGGCGGCTCGTCGGTTCCAAAGGTGGCCGGGGGCGGGCCCTTGTCGAGGTGGTAGACGCAGATGAGCTTGTCGTCGGCGCCGCTGGCGAGGTACTTGCCGTTGGGGCTGAAGCGCACCGAGTGGATGGTGCCGAGATGGTGGCTCATTTTGCAGAGCTGCCGCGGCTTGTTGTAGGACGGGTCGCGTGAGTTGTAAATAGCTTCGGTGGACCAGATGCGGACGTGGCCGTCGCCGCCGGCGGTCACGAGGCGCTTGCCATCGGGCGAGACGTGGCAACTGTAGACCTCGAAGTCCTTTTGCTCGCCGCTGTGGCTCAGCCACGACGGCTTGATGAGGAGCATGCTGGCAGAGGGGGTGGGTGCGCCCGCATGAGCTTGTAGTATTGCAGCTTCGATTCGATTCGATGGCTGGAGTACGAGGACGTGATGAATTGTCGATGGATAAAGGTGGTGGTGGTTGGTGGTGATGTTTGAGCCTGGCCGCTTGGATCTTTGTTAGCTGGCTCGACCTGTGACGCGCGGGCGCGCGTTGGACAGCCCTTTCAGCGTGTCTGGCTCAAAGCTAATTAGAACCCTGGCGCAGGGCCCATTGTTGGCGCAAGACTTACAGACAGGGGCGGAATAACCTTGATGCGTCGTATCCTGATTAAGAAATGCGCTGTAAGTTCGTGGTTGCAAGATGCGAAAGATGAGAAGAGTTTTGTGTCTTAGTAACTTATATTCCTGCCAGCTGATGAATTGTTTGTGTATTTTTAAAGTTAGGAAGCAGTGAGTGGCACAACTGTTGTTGGGTGGGATGTGCTGTTGCTACAGCCAAACAATCTGCCATGGAAACACCACTGACTACAGATGTCGCTCTTAAAAGTTGTGTCTCATGCTAGATGTGTATTTTTTTTAAAAAAAAGAAAAAGGTCTTTGTTTTTCCTATTTTTCACCATCTTGTCTTTCTCTTTCTTGTCTTTTGCTTCTACCCTGCATCTGTCTCTATTAAATGCCTACTAGGACCGTGGAAAGTGAACTGCGTAGTATTTTGCCAAGAACAAAAAGGATGAGAAAAACGTAGAAGGTTTTCGCGTAATTTATTCAACTGAATATACAAGTATTTATTCATTATCATAGTTCTTGCCCAAGTAAACCAAGCATCCATGCAACAACACAGTGCTCCAAGCGCCGCTGCTAATAAAAGTCAATCATCTCGAAATAATCGCTTCCCAAAATCAATCATCATCTTCATAAGAAGGGGAAAATTTTTTTTTTTCGCCAAGTCCCAAACTTCCCAACATGACCCAACTACGCCGCCACCGCCGTCGCAATGGCAGCCATGTGGTGGTGGCTGAGCGAGTCCTCCGCCGCCGGCAGCGGCTCCAGGTCCTTGTAGCTCTTGAGCAGCCTGTGCCGCGTCACCGCCGTCGCGCCGGCCCGGACGCGCTCGACGATGGCCTCGTCGGCCTCCCGGATCCGCCGCACCATCCCCTCCAGGCCGGCCCAGTCGACCACGTTCTTGGCCGCCGGGTTCCACGCGCTGGCCGCGGCGCACACGCAGTTCATTCGACCCCCCGCCGGTACTGCCGCGTGAGCTCGTCGCGGAGGGCGGCGTCCTGCTGGGACGACCGGAACCTGGCCTCGTCGCGCCAGCTGCCCGGCGCGAGCAGCGAGGCGAGCGTCATGTAGAAGTCAATGCGCCCGAGGACGTGGGATATGCCAGCCTGTATGTAGCCGAGCCGCAAGATGGGGTCTAACAAGAGCTGTAAAATGAATGATGGATTAGCTATTGGTCAACAACACGGGGATTTGCTGCTGGGGACTGTACCGGTGTCATGGTGCATATCCCGGCCCACGCGACCGCCGAGGACATGTACACGGGCACCACGGCGTCAATCGCCGCCTTGGCCGCGTCGATGGTCGCGCGCGCCGGCGACTCGCCCTGCTCCGTCCGTGAACCCCTCCGCTTGGCTAGCCCAGCGCTCATGATCTCCTGCAGCAGCCGCAGGCGGTCCTCGTCGGATCGCCCGCGAAAGTTGATGCTCATGCCGCCGCCCGCCGCCGCCTTGACGTGGCTGGGCAGCTCCTGCGCGATGATGGACTCGTACGTCAGCACGAGCCCTGAGGTCGCCGGCCCGTCACGGAGCACGTCGTACGCGGCGTTCCAGAGGTCGAGCGAGACGCCAGCGTCGCGGGCGGCCGCGGCCGCGGCGAGGCTCGACAGGGAGCTGCGCGGCGAGTTTGTCCGCCGCCGCGAGGAGAAGCTGTGGTGGTGATGGCTGGGGGAGGAGAGGGAGGGGGAGAAGGAGGCGTCGTGCGAGGAGGATCGTTGGGAGATGAGGCTCAGGCTGCCGGCGCGAAGTCGGCCCACGAACTTGCGAATGATGTTTTGCTGGGAGTCGGCGGTCATTATGTGCCGGTTTTCATCGGTGAGGCGAATTTTGGCATGTAAAACGGCGTGTATGGTTGTTTTCTTCTTTCTCTTGGCGCAGTGAGCAATAAGGAATGATTGTTATGCCGGAGTGGATAATGAGCTCAGCCGGGAACTGTTGCGGAAATAGCACAAGCTGCAGCGTCGAACCGGAGCTTGTGGCAGGCACGTAGGTTGTCGAGGGGAACAGAACAAGGTCTCGGTGCTCCTCGGATGATGCAATCCGGGAATTCCAACTTCAGGGTCCTTGGTGGGCGCTGCTGATCCTTGTCTCCGTCTTGGGTCCTGGGGAGGGGGGCGGTGATGCGTCTAAGTGGGCTTGATGAGCATCAGCTGCTGGGATACGAAAAGGACGCAGAAGAAACGCGAGGGCAAGAAATGCCAGAAAAGAAAGTGTTGGGGGCTTTCGGTTTAAAGAGTCATGAAAATGATGTTGGGAGGGAGCAAAAAAGAATCAACGACAAGGATTCTCTCTGCGTTCCGGCCGGGGGTACGTGTCTTGTCAAATGTCTCTTTCTTTGCTTGTGGTTTTTTTTCGGCGCCGTCTCTCGCCGGTGTGGCTTGCATATGAATTATGAGGTGTGGTGAGTCGTCCCAACTGAGGCTGCAGAGTCGTACAGTCGTTCGGGGACAGATAAGGTCTGATGGTGTGCAGCTCGTCTAATGGCGACGGCCTTTTGCTGGCTGAACCGCCTCTTAATTGCCTAAATACCTGGCTCCCTGGCGCAAAGTACTGACATGCTTGGCGGACAGTCGGTCTGTAGGCGCGTACACCGTTCGGCGATGCCTCCGTTGGCTACCTACTAGTTCAGGGGATGACGCCTCTTGCCGCAGGTGGGAACCGAAAAAAAAACTGCGTCATGGCTAACAGGACCGAGCTGAACCTCGATGGACGGCATCGCTAGTTAGTATGTTTCAAGGGCCTCTCCACGTATTGATTGGCACGGCGAGCGCCCGAAACGATCACTCCGAGGAGATGGCATTACTTCGTATGAACGGCCCGAACGCCGCCAAAGAAAGAACGAACGAACGAACGAACGACCCGAGTCAAAAAGACGGGAAGCCTCGAAAGCTTGGCTATTGCCCTTAGTCAGTGGCAAGCAGCCATCTCGGCATCTTCAGCTGTGTGTGTGTGTGTGCGGGATCGGTTCTGAATTTCCGAATTACCGGCTTCTTCCACTTGCTGAACTCACTAAAACTCTCCAGTCTTTCTCGGAACGGCACCCGTCGTTTTCCTAAATTGGCTTGCCAGTGGCGTTTATCCACGCAAGCCACGGCGAGAGCAGTTGCCAGTTAACTCAGCTGCTAGTTTAGATACTTTAGTCTATGGCAAGTTGGGCTGGTAAACCATAGTTACCGTCAAAACTTTCGTCACATGGTGGGCTGAACGGCTGGGCTGGCTCGCCTCCGCTGGCCTCCGCTCCCCGCCGCCGGTGCTCCTCACACACCCACTACGGAGCACCCGTCTTGTCATTTGCCGGAGGCGTCCCGTTGGGCACAGCCTGGTGCACGATGCGGGGAGGGATCGTGATTGGGCCGCATGCGATCGTTACGAGACAAACGGGCTGATCGCGAAAGATGGTGAAAACGCAGATAGGCTAGGGTTCGGGGACATCTGTAAGGCCCGAAAGCATAAAAAACAGATTGAGGGGAGAGATACGGACTGGTTTCTCTTATTTATCCATTAATCGCGCGCTCAGAAGCAAGTAGTAGAGGATCGTCAAATGAGGCGGGAAAAAATGTCTCGGTTAGTCAAAATATGCAAGACAGCCTGCGGGTCAACTTGGTGACAGGAAGAAAAAAAAATTCGAGGATCGTGACCATCTACAGATACGCAATCTAGCCGACCGCCTCTTGCAGCAAAAGTAAGTGACTGAACGCACAGGCGGGCTAAACAAGCTGTGTTGACTCGTGGCGGGTTGCAGACGAGGTGGAGGGGAAGGAGGAGGGGGACATAGTTAGTTGACGGCCACACCGCCGTTGTGAGAAGCCTCCTCTACGGACACGTGGATTTTGATTCCCTCTTGTCGATTTGATTGGGTCCGACAAGCTCTTTTGACTAGCCCCGATTCCAGCCAGCAAGCAAAGCTCGAGGTGCTGACCTCGCCACAGGAAAAATGTTTACCAGCGACGTGAAGGACGAAGGGCAGGCACGGATCACTGTTATGGCTGGCATCGGTCGCTCAGCTTGCTGTCGGTCTTAATAATTGAACCGACGAATGAAAAGCTCTCACATGCGTCATAATGAAATGGCTTGTAACTGTATAAGTAGCTAGTACCTGATTTGTCCCGCCTGTCACTAGGGATGTCTAAGTCTCATCGACTAATGCACGTGATCCCCTGACCGAGTGCCGTCCCTGGCCCGACAGCTACCGTGGGCCAGAGCTGCCAGAGCTCCAAAGCTTCCTTGCTTTGCCTTGCCATCATCCACTATAGCAAGCCGTCAGGTCCATCGTACAATTGGGCAAAGTCCTTGACGGCAGAGTGATTGCGCTGTTCGTCCTGTTCGGCGTCCTCATCCTGGCCTTTATTGCCGTGCAGCGCTGGGCGTAGAACGACGCCACAGTGCCTCCGCGCGTGTTTCGCATCCGAACCATCTAGTCCTGTACACTCTACCAGTTTAGTCTGGGTGCTAGTTTCTTCATCTTCATCTACTACCTGCTGATATGGTTCCAGGCCGTCCAGGGCGTTAGTGCCATCGAGTCTGGCAAGAGGACGCTGCCCATGCTGATTGGAAACATGGTCGGGACTACGCTCGCAGGCGTGGCCGTCGCTGCCATCGGCTACTACGCGCCCTTCATGATCGTAGCTAGTATATTAACGTCGATTGGCGGCGGCTTGCTGACGCTGCTCAATCCATCCATCCCATCGGCGGTCTGGATCGGCTTCCAAGTGCTCGTGGGATTCGGCATCGGCATCGGGTGGCAGCAACCAATTGTCGCAGTGTAGGCCGTCGTCGACATGGAGGACGTGCCCATCACAACGGCCGTTCTATCCTTTGCCCAGACAATCGGAAGCTAGCTATTTGTTGCTGTCGGCCAGACGGCCTTTGCCAACAAGCTGGTGCTGGATATCCGCACGACACTGCCCGACTTGGATCCTGCCGAGATTCTGAGCAGCGGCGCTGCGGACTTGTCAGGGCACGTTCCAAGCCAGTATCTCGACGATGTTGTGAGAGCGTACTCGAACGGACTCGTGCAGACTTTTATCGTCGCGATGGCCATGGCAGCCTTGTCGATTGTCGGTGCCTGTTTCGTGGAGTGGAGGAACGTCAAGAGTGCCCAGCAGGGCACGGACGCGCTGGTCCCGGCCAAAGTCGCGCAAAATGTACCAATGACTACAGTCGAATCCAAGATTTAGATGGATGAAAGAGGGCTTGGCAAGTCAGAGCCACGGATATGGGGGTAGCTGTTACCACGGAGTCCAATTACCTTCGCCATCACCCTATTCGGCGGATGACGAATCAACTGATGAAGTAGTTAAGCTCATTTCTAACAAGACCAAACAAAACAAAAGGAACAAATAGGTGAAGAACATCCAGCAAAAATACCAAAACACTGTCTGCACTTCCAAAAGGCTTCTGCGCAACCCCACTGCCTCCGTTACTAGCCTGGTTCGACGAGAACTTTGAGCTTCAGGTTGTGATCCAATTCTCCATAGATCTTCGTCGGAAAGAGTCGCAACGGAACGCGGCCGGGTGGTTTCCCGTAGAGGTGATATAATGGGACGCTGGTCGGCCTGCCTTGCCAGCAGCCTCGACCCAAATCGTCAATCTCCATAAATAGAAGGGATTGAGTCCAGTCTCCTTTCTCACATGCTTGAGTTTCTGCAATTCTGGAAGATGCAGTATGGTCTTGAGCCTGGCCCAGTATACACAGTGTGTTCGTTCTTATAAAAGTCATCCTCCGTCGGCCATTTCCACGTACGGAATACCCATTTCCGTGCTATCGGCGTTGTCAGGAGCGCAGACTATCCAATCTTTGGCTTAGTCTCGAGATTATCGTAGTCAGCCTGGTTTTGCACAACCCTGACATTACCGTGGTTGTTCTCATCGTCATGGTCCACCCAGATGCCGTTTCCAGTCTCACAATCTGATGTTGTTAGAATTTTAACAACTGACACCCTCCAGTCCCATGTTGGCATAGTGTACATTGGCTACACTTGTAACTAGACTGACTAGAGTCGGAACTCTTCGCAACTGTGCCATCATGGATGCGATTGTTCGGGACGATGGTGAGTTGAAGTTCGGGCAGTAACCACAGAGGGACGACGAGAAGGTGTAGTAGCATGGGTTTGGAAACAGATGACATTCCTGGTATTGTATGGTATTTTATTGCGTACGAGATATGTATGATATGGCTGGTTCATATACCGTCCAAGTACAAGGCCTCAAGGCACAATTAGGGACCACAGCTGGGGGTGAGGGGTCATCAACAGCTTAAGTAGCTTGCTCTTGTGCGGCCGCAAGCCAGCCTACGAAGCTATAGCTGGGGTAAATCGTTGAGCAACTCCTGCTGCGAAATGGACTGTCGGCCATCTCCGCTGCATAAGATAAGCCTTTTTATCACATTGGATGCCCCAGAGCTTGCCGTCGTAACCGATAATATGGCGTATTGATTGGTATTAGTTTTTTACCTTAGAGAACCTGGCTTGGCTGCCTAGTCGACTCTTAGTGAGATCATTTAATCAGTTATCCAGCCCGGTGTCTATGCACTTCACGTAGTCGCCAGCTTGAGGCTGATCTTTTTCTTCATGTCACCTGGTTTCCATCGGCTTCCTCTACTTCTGCGTCTAAACCTAGCCATTGGTTGGGCGGAGCGCCCTAACGCAGCAGATCGTGAGATGTCGCGAAAACCATCCCGTCACGTGTGGCTTGCTTTCGAAGCTCGGTATTGTAATTCGAGCAGACAGAAAACGGGCAATTTTCAGCACGGGTATGCTTCTGGAATTGAAGCTGAATCGGATGTGGATTTTGCTTGACAGTTTCAACGACGCTATACTAGCCACCCTGAGCCACAAATTTAGTCAGCACGATTAGTGGTTTAAGCCCGATGTGGCGGTGAAGCTGGACTGTGCGAGAGATTTCCTAAAGTGATGGCAGGATGATCAAGAGAGGACAAGTACTGAGTAACACAACTGTCAACTACCTAGGGCAAGGTACAAGGGAGTTGCCTAGCACGGCCTCCTTCACCTTTCAGAATCTTTGGCTTCCCTAGCAAGGTCGCTCATTGCAGAGTCAGGATCAATTCACTTGATGGTTAAAACGCCCACGCGTCATGATGAGACTCGTTTGCATGTAACTGGTACTTAATTTGTCCCGCCTATCACTAGGGCCGTGCAGGTCTCATCGACCTAGGCAAGATGATCCCAAGCCCAGTGCCGTCCTTGGCCGGTCGCCCGATGACAGCTTGGCCAGAGCTCCAGAGCTTCCTTGCTTTGCGTTGCCTTGCTGCTCGTTTGCGGACAGCTATTGGCCAGCTTCCTGAAGCTGGTCGCTCCTTCTGGAACGGACCCAAAAGCAAAACAAAGTTTGGTAACGAATAAAAAGCCAAGCTCGCGCACCCTGTAAGCTCATCTACTCTTGTTCATCCCACCTGCAAAACATTACCCCGCACCAGTGAAAATACCATTCAATTCCATCGCAATCATGGCTAACCCCAAGGTCTTCTTCGATATCTCTGCCAACGGCGGTACGTTGATGCTCCCATGCCGAAACTTGCTACCATCAGTGACGGGAATTAGCTGACTTGTGTTTCTCTTTCAGAGCCCCTCGGCAAGATCGTCATGGAGCTGCGCAAGGACGTCGTCCCCAGGACGGCCGACAACTTCCGCGCCCTCTGCACTGGCGAGAAGGGATACGGCTTCCAGGGCTCGTCCTTCCACCGCGTTATCCCCGGCTTCATGTGCCAGGGCGGCGATTTCACGAACCACAATGCAAGTTGCTGATGCGCGAAGAAGCTGCACACACAGCATGCTAACCACACCGATCCACAGGGCACTGGAGGCAAGTCCATCTACGGCGAGAGCTTTGCCGACGAGAACTTCACCCTGAAGCACACCGGACCCGGCATCCTCTCCATGGCCAACGCCGGCCCCAACACGTTTGTCTCTCCACCACTTGCGCTGGCGCGATTTCGCTGCTAACCCCTCGCTACCAGCAACGGCTCCCAGTTCTTCCTCTGCACTGCTACCACCGGCTGGCTGGATGGCAAGCACGTTGTTTTCGGCAAGGTCGTCGAGGGCATGGATGTCGTCAAGAAGATTGAGAAGTTCGGCAGCGATTCGGGAAGGACCTCGAAGAAGATTGTTGTCGACGCCTCTGGCGAGTGCTAAACGGTCGGCAAGCTGGTGGCAATGTTCCTATTGACCACGCAGTGCTGCTCACATAGGCTCAATCCAAAAAATGGCGTTTGCCTAAAATATTCAAAAGAAATGCACGAGTTTAAAGTGCTCGAACTTCCACCTGGAGCCGTTCCCAGCTTCGCGCACTCTAATCCATGATAACTATTCGAATGGCCAATACCGCTCGTACTTAGCCCTTTCCTTGTTAGTCTCGGCTAGCTGCTCTAATATCAAGGCTTTGACTTCGTCGAGGGCAGCTTTGCAATCGTCGTAACGCTCATGCTCGATGAAGCCCTTGTCCGGCCACAGGTCGCCCATTTTCCCCTTGATCTCTGCAGCAAGCTCTGTTCCAGCTACCGCGCCGTCGCTATCCATTTTGATACGCTCGATATCTGCTTCCGAAAAGTCAAACGGAAATGGGGTGTCACTGGTAACCGCGGGCAGATCCGTCCACGTATCCTTCAGATCCACCAGAAGCGATTGGAAGTGCGCTTCGCCGTATTCGAACATTCGGTGGGCGAGAAATAGCAGCCCGTAGGCCGCTGTCCTTCGGAATTCGACTACTTTATACAAGTCTGGGTTTTTGGCACGCATGAGTTTTCGCCATCCAATGAAGACATTTTGAATAGCATACTCATGTACAGCAGCGGAACGTTCTTCAGGCGAAAGCCCAGTGAGTTTCGGCCGTGGTGCGAGATCCACCGTTTCAGGTTCAAGGCCGTCCCAGTCGAGGAAAGCTGGGTCAGGATTGTGATTGAAGAGCTTGTACTACGCAGAAGATGTGCAGCCACCAGCAGGCAACCGCTTCACCAAGGATGGAACGGCTGTGATGGATTCCAAGTTTGCCATTGGTCCGGCTACCGGCCGAGACTGGTGTGATGTAGGCCGATCGTACTTGCATGTCGAGAGAGGTCCATGTAGGTCTCAGTCTGTCCCATTGTCGCACCGTCGCTGATAAGTTTAAAGGCTTCTCTGAAGCAGTACCTGCAGGGATAGCGGAACACCTTCGACTTTATCCATGATGATGAACTCGGCCCCAACGGGATGCGATTCAGCTCGCGAGTTCCACGCGTGCACCGGCGGCGCTGGTGTGTCCAGAAAATCCCTGGCCTCCGGAATCAGACCTGTCAGCAAAAGACTTGGTGTTGGTACAGTCAAGAAAAAACCCTACAAAATCCATTGTAGCGACCTCACTGGCAGTAGTAAAGTGTGGAATGCCAGCGTTCGGGTTGGGAACCTTGGCTATGACTTCTCGGCCATTGTCCATGGACATGAGGAATGCTTAGTTGAACATGCCGTCGGGGTACTTGCTGATGGCAATACATCGAGAAGCTCCGACCGAGTCCGCTGCGATGCTCGCGAGGCGATTCAGGTCGAATCTGACCTCCCGCTGTCCAAGATTGGCGGCCTCATCAACGATGAAGCGACCACGCGTGAATTTGAAGAAGTCATCGTTAGAATTGCAGTCTGATAAGTTTAAGCTATATACCGAATAGCGCAATGAGCCTGCCTACCTCGCTGAGAAGCGCCCATGTCCATACTACCGGGACGGTGATGGGAGGATAAAGGGGGCGCTATACAGAGTGAACGGCAGTGTTGTTTTGGACTCGATGTCAAGCTCTGAATATAGCCCAAAGGCCGCGCGGACGAAGATCGGCGCATTCTTCACGAAACGTGAATAAGTGCCTTGATCTTACCCGCTACCTTTTGTTGGATTATTCAAGACAATTGGTAGCCACCTGTTGTGTGACACGGGCCAGAGATGGAATATGAAGGGATGAAGGAGCCATCAAGCGTAGATAAACTTGGCAGAGCCAGCACCACGTGACAATGCCATTCCCATCTCAAGACAAATAAACATAAAAGGCCTCTAGCGCATGCTCAGGATTATGTAGCAGCAGTAAATACCACTTTGGAGATAAAAAAAGCGGTTTACATTAGTTGACTTCAATTGAGTAGGTTCAGGAAAGGCTTTGTTATTGAGCAATACAAGGCAAGTAAGGTTGGCTCCCGGGTAGGTACTTGTATTTCCATTCACGATTTTACGACGAGACACGATGTAAGAACACGGGCAGCATTGAAGTAGTTCCGCACAGTAAGAGTTGCCAGATGATCGTCTTGGCCCCAAGATTTGTTCCCCCCTTTAAAAGAGAATATATATACACAAAGCATTACGGAAAAGCGCAGTAAAGAACAACGTACCTGGTAGTTTAAGGCACTTTCTCCTGCTACTCATCAACCTGTGGGATGGGTCTTTAAGGCTCGTCCGTGTCCACATTACCGATCCGCATTCTGATTCGCAAGGTCGGACGTGCGCCTCGCGCAGGCACTGCAGCGTAGCGCGCGTGCCTTGGAGCTCCAGGTCCCGGGCGTCGAGCGCCTCGTCGGCAGCGGCCAGCCGCTGGCGCAGCGATCGGCTCTCTGCCTTGGCATCTTCGAGGGCGCTGGGCCGACTCAACCCGTCTGCGAGGCCAGGGGACGGGGAAGGAGGTAGTTGATGGGCGCTGAAAGCCGAGACGCACGGGATGCGGGCGACGGCGGCGATGACGGCGCTCGCGGCAATTCCTCGACGGTCAGTGAGATATGGGCGGGGGCCATGGTGATGTTTGAATGTGACTTTCCTGGTAAAGTTGCACTTGCTGGTGGGTGGCATTCCGAGGTGAAAATCGAGGACCGATGCGACGCTTTTTAAAGCCCGAGGTCTTCGATATCCAGCACTGCTTCTCGACACTTGAAAGAGCCATTGAGGCGAACTCGGCTATGCAGCTGAACATCTTTGCGAAACAACTGAGCCAAGTATCTCTTTTTTGTTCGGCGTCGTCGTGAGAATCCTCTTGCCTTGCCTTTGCCGACTGCCCTTTGAGAGGGGTGCCTGATCAAAAGCGTCCTTAGGATGGACACACAAAGGCCAAGGCTGAAGCCTCGATGCTCGCAACGCTGCATAATGCCTGCTCCTTGTCTAGCCATTGTCTCCTGCATTCTGTCTGTCGCCTTCGTTGAGCGCCTCCTCGCCCCCAAAAGAATTGGTCACCGCCGACGGCGATATTCTCATATTGCCCCGCCAAACCGTGCAGCAGAGCGCCAAGCCTTGTTTTCAGACGTTATCGATGACGGGCGCTTCCGGGGGAGAGCGCCGCTGCTTGTTCTGCTTCGCCCGTGACGCGAAAATGCGGGCTGAGGGGGCCGTTTTACTGAAAGTTGACTGACACCTTCGGATGAGAGTTCTGGGACGCATACATGCTGATCCTGCGGTGCGGCTTGCGCCATTGCCTGCAGCTTGTTCGTTCGTCCGAACCAGACAGACACTGCAGCCGAAATGAACGGGCGTGCCAGAAACGGGAATTTTTACCGGGAAAGAGCGGCGCATCGAGGCAGAAAATAGAACAAGGCTACGAGAGGTGCATTCAAAAACGAGGTACCTACGTGGTGGCATTGCCTGGGTGACATCGCCCATTCAGCGACGCCTGTCATTGGAGGGGGAGCAAACAGGCAGCACAATGTCCTTTGGCGCCGAGCTTCGGAGCCCGTTTGTTCGTTCTATCATTGTCTGCCGTAGGAACCTACGAAGTGAGTGTAATTTCGGCCCAAACTCTGGACAAAGGACAAGGAGAGCGTTGTACGTACTACGGATGTAACCCCGTCAAGGCGGTTGCCGCCCTGTGATACGGCAAAGGAACATGCCGTTAGTTCAAGACTCTCTCCCCCACACCACCCATCGGTCCCAGCTGATGAAAGACGAGGCTTACTCGTTAGGTACAGGGAACAAGGGGAAAAGCTTGCCAGGATAGCCCCGTACCTTGCCGACAAGAGCATCGGAAGAGGAAGGTAGTGAACTGCGGGAGAGAGAAGTTCACGACTCATTTGTCAACTGTTAGTAAAAGCATTGAAGATATTGGCTTTGTGCGCCAACTTCTTTCAACAACTCCCACCAACAACGGCTACTTCTCAAAGAAAATTTGAGACATCTGCTCGAGCGACTCGAGAAAAAAGAGGCGTAAACAAATGCGTTTCGAAGCGAGACATTCTGCATCTGGACTGTGTATTATTAGAAATCTGCAATTTCCGCGGCAGGAATGCAACTTGTGCAAGACATTGTTTGTTGAGATTCTCAGGTAGTGCGGGCGCGGCAGAGAGCACAGCGGCACCGGCTCGCCTTATCATTGGCGCAATATCGCGCCGTCGAAAACTTGGTTGATTCGGAGAGTCTCGGGTTTGTCGCGATTAATTAGCAACACCCTTGATGATGGGGTTCTTTTGTCGCTTGCGATTGCTATAGTTGACCAGTTAGCAAAACAGAGCCTTTTGCGGCCGCTCTTTGCTTATTGGTTCTTATTGGCCAACAATCAAAAAGTGCCAGGGAGGACGAAAATTATGATCGTATTATTAGGGGCCAAGCCACTTGGCGCCAGAGTTTTGATGGTTTGAATCATTCCACGACCAGAGCCTGCCTGACGGGGTAAGGCGTGCCAGGCCACCACCAGCTCAGGCGAGGCGACGGCCAACAAAAGTTCTCTTATCTCTTTCGCGGCAATTGAGACAGCTTGCTCCATCGGTCGGCAGCAGGTTTCAGCGGCCTGTAAGATTAAGGTCCGAGTTTTACCTCTTTCCCTCCTCCACAAAAGGAACGGGGCTGTCAGCTAGTCGATTGGGGCCTTCACTGGTCGCATCGTATTGCTAGTATTGTTGCTGTCATGTTAATTGTTGGGATAGCTGCAATGGGAAGGTGGGTGCAAAAAGTAACGTAAATGGAACGCGCCGAGGCCTGCTAATGAGCAACCCGGGTGCTGTTTTGAAAAGGAAGTTGCCAGCAACTACTGTACACAAATAAGAAAAGAAAGTATTGAAACCTTTTGTCGTGGTGGTTTGCTTTTTCGTCGACCTTTTACCGCCCTGATGACAGCCAAGGGAGGGAGGGGTGAGGGGGTGTGTGGTGTACTGTAAGCAGCGAAGCTGGCAGCTTCATCCGGCTGTCGGTGCCAGTGACTCCATGGCTAGTCATCATACGACGAGAGGCATATAATACCCCCGCAGCGCATTGATAGATCATATCACTTATTACGCGCGCGCAGTGTGATCAGTGAGCACTTGGCAGGGCTACACAGCCAATATGCCAAGTAGAATAAGGAAAGAACTCGGGCCAGATCAATGTAATAACTGATGCAAGGGCACATTTGTGACGGTGCTTTTCAACTCACCACTCAGCCATCAGCATTGTTTGGAACGGCGGGCAGGCACACATGATCGTGCAACCCCTCCTCTCTGATGCAACGTCTGTGTTGGTGGCCGACTTTAACGTTGAGTATCTAGTTAACTGTTGGACCGTGACTCTATTTAGCCCAAGGGGACCTCTGGCAGCTATTGCCATGTATTTCGTGGAGGGTGGCTGATCCGGTTCCGCAATAGGCGTCAGCGAAAGAGTGGCGAGACCGCCGTTTTAGGCTGCTGTTGGCGGAGTGAGAATTTCGTTGAGACGCCGCTCAATTATTGAAGGGAGTGTGTGATTGTGATTGTGGTGGAATAGCAAGGCAAGGCAAGGCCATTCGTGTACAGGACTGGGCATCAGTGGCGCGCTGGGTTGCTATGATGCGTATTGAGGGATGTTGTAGTCTTTTGTCGGTGTGTAATCGAGGCATGTGGTGCGGGTGTGTGATCTAATGGATGCGTTGTCGCGGGATTTTTTTTTTCTTTGGTCGCTTTTTAATTGTGGGAGAATACATGCAGGGCAGTCATCGGACCCTTGGGCGGAGATACCAGTTTGCGGTGGTACTGATCAGTTGTTGGGTGTATGTATTGAAAGATGCACTAGTCCCAAGAGAGTAAACCAAAGATGTCAAACGGTTGAAACTCGAGTAATCCTTTGAGCACTGGTATTCGTAGATCCGGGTATCGCTTATTATTCGCAAAGCACGTCGTTGGTAAGAATGCGGGTGATGCAGCGCACAGGACAACTGGCATGCCTGGCGTTAGAGGAAGTGGCGTCGGCATCGGGGGGGCACATCAACATCGCCGGCAAGGTGATAAAAGCGATGGGTACTGGGCAAGTCAGGTTGGCGAGTTGGTTTTTGTGGTCGTCACTGGTTGCCTCTGTCGGTCGGCTGGTCGGTGGTTGTTCCGAAACTTTGCGCCTTCAGCATTCAGCATTCGGCAGGAGGCACCGAGGTTGATTGCCGACCGGCAACAGTTTCCTTGTAGTTCGGGACTAGTTAATGAATTAGTTAGTGATCAGTTCCGAACAGCGCTGGGGTAGTCGGGTGGGATAGGCTTGTGGTGGACCATGTTTCCCGAGGAGGCTGCCGACGGCTGAGGGCAGGCAACAGCATGTAACGGTCCATCCGGAAGAGACCGTCAGAGCCTCTTGGCCATGTCCAGACATGGTAAGTAACGCCGAGTGTGGTTGGTGGGATGAGGACGGGCGGTGGCGAACGAAGATGAGGGGGCGTGTTTGTAAATTGTAACCTTGAGTCTTGGGAGTCTTGGGAGTCTGAGGAGTCTGGGGTAAGATGGACAGAGAGGAGGGGTACTTGTTGATTCAGCCTGCGTTTGGTGTAGAAGCAAGTACCATGTGCCGTACAATATTCATCGCATTTGGATTAATCAACTAATCGTGGTCAAGGCGGAAATGCTTTTGCCCAGATGACGAAACATACATGCCTACCTATTGTTATGAATTTGAATCCTAATATTCGTTGCTTGCCTGACAAATAGTGATGCAACATTGCTTCTGATTGCCAATTGCTGTCTCGCCGCGGAACCACAGGACCTTGTCTGCTGACGCCGCCTTGCATCGCCGGTCGCGCGATTGGCCGCCGCTGGGCCGGGCAAGGTCGGCCTGCCTGAGTTGGATGGCTTGAGTTATTACAGGCGGGTTTAAAGTGCCTGGAATTTTAGTAAGGAGTGTTGTACAACAGCAGACACGACGTACAAGCGGCGTACAACGGCGTGCCGCGCTGATTAACAAAGGGTCACACAGCGGGTTGCCGCGGCGTTACAGCGCTCTCGGCCCCATGCAGACCGCTGCGTTTCAAGGCGTGGTACGCCGTAAGGCACCCACTGAGCTGTCCCTGATGACTCCCAGCTTATCACTGCCAGGTCATCAATGCATTTTTTCAAATCACCCACCAGCCATTTGCCTGCACCACCGCCATTTCGCGCTGGTCACGCATCGGCCAAAACCCTCAACGGGTACCGATCGGGCGCTATCCATCCCATCCATCGCCCCCTCCCCTCCCACCTTCACTTCCATCCCTCCCTTTCGCATCCTCGGTTGCGCTCTCGGTCGTGCTCTCGGTCGGTGGCTGCTGGCGGCGGTGTACTTTTCTTTTTCTCGCCTCCCGCCTTGTTCCGTTGCTTTCCTCCTGCCCACCTCTTGTGCTTTCGTCGCACTCAGTGTCCGGCGTCACGCCTTGTGTCCCCTCCAACCCTACATCGGTCCTCAGCGAGGCTAGAGCTGAGCTGGCAAATGCCATATTCGTGACCATTGACTTCGCCTATTGAGTCGAGAATGAAACTTCCCTGCCCGGAAAGGCACCCCCCCCCGGATAATGCAATCGCGATGCTCGCTTATTACCAAAGCGTATTACTTGTACTCCGTAGTGGGAGCGCTGACAGTACACAACGGGGTATTACGCCTCAAGTGTGAGTCTGACGGACGGCACTCTCATTCTTTGACTAACGACATAACCAAACGCAAGCACAAGCACAAGCACAGGCAGGCACAAGCAGGCCGCTTGGCAGCGCCAGCCTGCCAAATCAGCCCGGGTTTCTCTCGGTCAATGACTTTGGCAAAGCTTACTCACACACCCACTCCAGCTCACTCATCCACACGCCTCATCACACCCCCCCTCCCTCCGCGCTCATCTCACCGTCTCCAACTAGCTCGACTCACCTAAACAGCTTGTCTAAACGAGCAGGGGTGTCGGATACGGGTCCGACGCCACCAACCCAGGCTCAGATCTTCTCATCCGTCCCGTCCGCCTTATAACATCCCAACGCTGCCCGCATCCTGACCCCCGTCTCTTGTTCGCTTCCCCAACTATCGTTATTACACGTCGGCATACCAGTCCTCACGACTTGCCAACTTCGCTTGCAACATACCGACCTCGACATACACAAGCAACAATACTTGGAGCCAACACCCACTGCTCTACGCAACTACAGCCTCAATCCTCATGGCCATGTTGGCACCACCTCTCTCACCCCAGCCAGCCGGTGGCCTCTTCGAACTCCCGCACAAGAAATGGAGACGCCGTCGAATCACTAGTCATCTCATGCGGCAAGAAGAACGCGACAGGGCCGCCCGCGAGGCCGAGATGGAATCCAAAGCCCGAGCCTGCAACTACCTCTCCACCTTCCTTCACAGCTCCCCATGGTCCGATCAGCTTGAGCAGATCACCATCGTCTGGGACTCCGTACCACCAATGGAGGATCTTGACTCATATGGCGAACTTGATGAAGAAGAAGGCACTCGCAATTGTCGACGCCTCTTCAAAGCTGTTGTCGTCTGGGAAGAAGTTGGCCAGCTACTCTGGCAAACACTCAGGGATACTGCACAGCAACGACAACCCTTGGATGGCACCGTGTCTGCCGTCACTCAACCTCCCTCTACCGATGGTGCCGACGCTTGGTGGCACGCACCTCCCGACTACTCATTTCGCCGCGGTTCTCAAGAAACGTCCCACTCCAGCTTGACCTCGCGCGGCTCTGCTACCGCCAGCCCCTTGCCCTTCGAGCGCGATTACAGCTCATTCTCCTCCCTCAGCAGCTCGCCTTGCGATCCAAGCTTCATGGCAGCTGCTGCCCAGAGCCGCAGGCGGAGCGACTCTCTCTCCGCCATGATCCCCCGCGCCATCTCCTGCGTCTCCGCTGTCAGGAAAACTTTTGGGGTATTCTCTGAGAAGCAGACTGCTTAAATTTGCAGTACTGCAAAAAGTTACGATCTTCTTTACGATATTACGACTTCCCGTCATGAACATCACCTTGTTCTATTGGGACCATCTCTTTTGTTTTCGGCTGACGGAGTTGTCGGCTGCTGGGATTCATGTAAGGCGCCTTTTGACTTGATAGCATAGCGAATCGTGGGTTACTGTTTTTTTAATAAGCTTGAAGTGCTCAAGCAGATTTTGGATTTGTTTTATACCCCTGTACCACAGCAAGGTAATGGAAATGGAAAGCATTTACGCGGCGTCTAGTATACCTAATCAAGCTCGGAGTCACGCGATTCTGTATTCTTCTTTACTCTCCTAGTTTTTTCTTGTGTTACTGTGACTATCAAGCAACAAGGTCCGTACGAGCGCGGCTAGCTCGAGCATAGGATTTAGAAACTCAAACACAACTCCAGTCATCTTACCCAGGCGTCTTTGCAATTACACGATCACGGCCATACCCATCATTACTGCACAGGCACTTATTTATACACGTTTCGTCGTGCGGTTGCGGGTTGTAATCGCTCCCTGTTTTGGTATAGTTGTGCCCGATGTTCCAAATCCTGCACATGATCTAGCTGTGCTCATCCTCCAATTTCTTGTTTATTCGGTATTACTGTGAGTATGAAACAAGCAAACAATATTATGCAGTCTGCACAGTTATTGCATCGTACATGCGTTACCTCGTGATTCATGAGGCGTCTTGGGCTTACAGGTGAGTAATATACGCTAAAAGTAGCAGCTGTACTGGTCGCGCCGGCTAATTCTCGGATGACTCGCGCGGCTGGCCCATGCGCCACCAATGTTGTGCTGTTTGGTGGAGCACACCTAAATGCGAGCTCTCCCAGCGCGACCTGCTTTCTGCTTTAAATCAAGGTCGTCCTTCACTTCTCTACCAGTCGTTGCGCCGCATCTGCTTTGCAGCACCCAGTAACTCCTCTATTGCAGTCGCATGCACTCTTATTTTTTTTTTCCCTCGCGCTGCTGAATTACTCCCCACAAACTTGCCACACAGGACGAGCAGCTACGCGCCTTCAGCAAACGCTGAGCTCCTGCCAGGTGATGAACAGCTTCGTCCTGTTCTCCATCTAGCCACGACGATATGGCGGCCGCGGCTGTTGATGTCGGCTATCTCGCCGGACATCTGGGCATCGACCAGCCAATCCTCACGAGCTTGACCAGCGAGCCGACTGTGGACCTGGTCGCGATTCTGCTTCAGGCGATAACAAACAAGGCACACGAATTTGATACCCTCTACGCTGAAAAGCTCCAGACCGACATCGAGCTCGAGAATGCAGTTCGAAGTGCCGAATCGAGATCACAAGCATCCAAAACAACCGCCGATCAGGCTTTGAAGGATGTGCAACAAGCTAGGCAGAAAGTCCAAGAAGAGGGTAAGCCTGATCATGGAAACATTGTTTTCCTAGATACATTTGACTAATCGGATTTCTCCCCTTGCAGAAACGAAGCGGCAAGCCGTCGAGAACGAGCTACAAGTCTTGAAGTCAAGGAGCTCTGACCACGACGCGGATGTCAAGGCACTAAACGACAAGATTGAAACGCTTCAATCCTCCAACCGTGCCAACCTAGCCATCATCGAGGCTAGCAACAAACGAGACTCGACCCTTACGGAAGAGCTGACGAACCAGCACCAGCGAAATGTCGAACTGTCGCGGGAAATCACTTCGCTGCACCAATCGGAGCAAAATGCCCGGGGCCAACTCAGTAGTGCCAAATACCGCGAAGAATCCTTACAACAGCAGCTTGATCACTCTCACCGCACCACAGAATGGCTGGAGAATGAGCTGAAGACTAAGAGCGAAGAGGCTCTAAAGTACCGTAAAGAAAAGGGCGCTCGCATTGCCGAGCTCCAGCGCCAGGGCGAGGATGCCCTCTCGCAGGTTGAATCTCTGAAGCGAAGTGAGAAACAGCTGCGCGATCGTCTCACGACCCTGCAGACCAAGGTTGATGACACGCTGGTCAGGATTCAGAAGCAAGAAGAGTCCTTCGCAGCGACCGTCGACAGCTACAAATCTGAGCTGGAGGATCAACGCCGATTAGTCGACATGTCGGAACAGCTCAGTCAGAAGCATCAGGATCGTGTGCGTGAGCTTGATGCCGAAAAGGAGCGCCTCAAAGATAATTACGAAAACGAGTTGCGCCGCGTACGCACCGAGCTTGAGCAAGAGAAGCAAGTCGGGGCTGATCTCGAAACCCGCATCCGCCAACTCGAAGGCGAGCTCGACGAAGCCCAAGTCCGTCTGGAGCATGCACCCCCTCCCGGATCTGCCCCTCAGACACCACGCGCGAATGGTGGCGCGTTTGCTCGTGCGGTATCGCCATTTGCAACGCCCGGATCAGTTCGCAACAAGACCACCATCACCGCCACTCAGGCCATTGATCAGCTCTTCCAGGCCAAGGGCCAGCTCGCTAGTGAACGACGCCGAACCCTGCAATTGACTGAGGAGCTTGACGGTATGATCGCAGCTCTGGAAGCCAAGGCTCCTGAAATCCAAGAGCTTCAGTCAGAGTCCGAAATGCTACGAAACGAGCTCGCTCGCATGTCTGAGCTATCGCAGCAGAGTTTTGAAGAGCGTGACGCCGCCAGAAAGGGTGCCAGAAAGGCCGAGGGCTTGCTGAACAACTCTCAGTCCGAAAACAAGATTCTTCGCTCTCAACTTCGCGACCTCGGTACACAAATTCAAATGCTGGTGTTTAACGCTTATGCTCTCGAGAAGGGCGTGGGTCAGCTTAGCGATGACGAGGTTTTCCGACTTAAGCAGCTTGAGAAGGGCGAAGTGACTGAGGAAGCGTTGGCCGACATGTCTGACACGCACCAGTTCATCACGCAGAAGCTGGTTGTCTTCAAGGACATTCAATCCTTGCAAGTCAAGAATCAAGAGTTGCTACGTATCACTCGCGAACTAGCTGAGCAGATTGAGAGTGAGGAGGCGCTAGCGGCCAAGCACCAAGCGAAGGAGGACCATGACAAGGTCGAGAAGCTTGAACAGGAGCTCATCCACATGACCGAAGAATCTAAGTCGATAAAGACGACTTTGGAAAGCTACAAGGCCGAGCGAGACATGTTCCGTCGCCTGCTTCAACAAAGAACTTCCGGTGGAGACGAAGCGTCCATGATGCGCAGCTCCCTAGATGGCCGGTTGCCTCTTGCCAGTATAGAATCTGGAGAGCAGACCGAGGCCCTCAGCGAAGCCCTTCGAAAGCTTCAGGCCGAGTACGATAGCTTCCGCGAGGCTCAGGATGGTGTGCGCAAGGACCTTCGCAACCAGGTCGATGCACTTTCCGCCGAGCGCAACAACTTGCAGACTGAGCGAATCAAATTGCAAGGTGAAGCCCGCCTGGAGTCTGAGCGTCGAGAGATGCTCCAGGGCAACTATGCAGCCCTCCAGACCGAAAACCAGGAACTGCAAAAGCGTAGTCGAGTCCTTTCAGAAACAGCGGCTAAGCAGGATATTCGCACACAACAGGTAGCAGAGGAACTGATTGACGCCAAGGGTCTTCTTGACAGTGTGCGCAACGAAGCGGCCAATCTCAAGGCCGAGAAGAAGCTCTGGAAGGATATTCAAGATCGCATGAGCAAGGACAACGAACTTCTTATTGAGGAGAAGAATAGACTCGGAAACTTGCTCGCAACTCAGCAGTCCTTGGAGAACGAACGCAACATCTCGGAATCAGAGTCGCGTAGGAAAGCGCAGGCCAAGATCGAGCAGCAGGAGCAGGAGCTTAGCGATGCTCACCGGAAGCTTTCACAAGCTGCTGAAGACAGCAAAAATCTCCAGCAGCGCAAAGAATACGAAGCTCGCGAGGCTCAAAAGCGCATCGATGAGCTCATGACTAGTCTCGGCCAAATTCGCGAAGAACACATTGGTGTTAAGACCACCAAGGACCACTTGCAGGCTCGTGTGAATGAGCTCACTGTTGAATTGCGCAACGCGGAAGAGCGTGCCGGTCGCCTAGCGCCTCGCCCAACACCCAGGCCTGGCGCTGCAGAATCGTCGGAGTATCAGCAAGAGCTGGAAGCGCAGGCTCAATCGCTCACTAATGATGTTGCGGAACTGCGTCGTGATCTTGCGCTTGCTAACACTCAGCTGGAGAATGCCAAAACGCAGGCTGAACAGTACCGCGAATTGTGCCAGAGCAACGAAGATGCCCTGGAAGATTTGCGCGCCTCCCAAGATCAGTACAGGATTGAAATGGAGTCACTAATCGCAGAGAAGGAAGCCAAGGTTAAAGAACTCGGACAACGCGTCGACGACATGTCTAGTGAACTGTCGCGATCCAATTCTGAGCTTTCTTCCTTGCGCGACGCACAGGGCGAAGTGGCTCGGAAATACGAGGATGAGAAAGCGATCCTCGATGAAGAAATCTCTCGCCTGAAGGAGGACAGCGCCAGACATCTTGAAGCCGCGCGCTTCCATCAGCAGGATCTTCGTGCGCAGGCAGAGATAGCCACACGCGCCCAGCAAGACTACGAGCAAGAACTTGTAAAGCACGCCGATGCTGCAAAGCTTGTCCAACAGCTGCGCAATGACTACAACGAGCTCAAGAGCGAGGCGGCGACACTGCGTGCTGAAGCTGATTCGGCCAAGGTCACCCTTGCGCAGAGTGAATCTTCTTGGGATGATAGACGGCTCCAGCTCGAGCAAGAGATGACCGAGCTTAAGTCCAGGCGCGAAGATGTCAACGCGCAGAACAAACTTCTGCATCAGCAATTGGAGGGTCTGACGACACAGGTTAACACGTTGCAGCAGAGTCGCGGAGGAAATGGCCAAGAAGACGACGCTGTTGTTGCCGGCGCAACGGATGCCATGGAAGGCCTTAGAGAGCTGAACAGCTATCTCCGTCGGGAGAAGGAGATTCTTGAGGTACAATATGATCTGAAGACGCAGGAATCGAAGCGTCTGCACCAGCAGGTTGAGTACATACAGAGCCAACTTGATGAAACACGCCTGAAGCTAGATCAAGAACGCTCGCAGGCTACTCAAGGTGATAGATCCTCTATGACGCATCAGAGTCTCATGGAGAAGCTTAACGAGTTGAACCTCTATCGCGAGAGCAGCATGGCCCTTCGGAGCGAAAACACTCACCTCAAGGACCAGATTTCTGAACGCAACAACAAGATTCAAGAGTTGGAGGCCAAGACTCAGCCCCTTGAATCTACAATCGACAATTTGAATACGCAGAAATCCTTCCTCGAGGACGAAATCAAGCAGATCCAGGAAGACCGTGATAGGTGGCAGAAGCGCACCGAGGGCATTTTGACCAAGTACGGTCGCGTTGACCCTGCTGAGATGGAACAATTGAAGAAGACCATCGCTGATCTGCAAACGGAGTGCAATAGCCTGAAGGAAGGTTCAGAGCCGCTCAAAGCCAAGGTAACCGAATTGGAAGCTGCCCTTGAAGCAGAGCGAGTTAATTGGCAAACTACGCGTTCCAAGATTGCCGAGCAGTTTAAGGAAAGATCCAAGAGGATTAGCGGCGAGAAGAACGATGCTGTCCAGCGAGCTAAAACTCTCCAAGAGGAGCTCAGCGCTGTCACAGCAGATCTGGAGGCGGCCAAGCAGCAAACCGAAGACGGGAAGATCCAGCAGACCGCACTCGAGAAGCAACTGGAAGAATCCCGACAACAGTTGGAGCAACTCCGACAACAGTCGCAAGCCGACGGCAGACAAGGCGGAACTGCATCGGCTGAGGTGGGTGGCGATGCTTCTGCTTCTGCCGAAGTGGTGGCGAAGCTTGAGAAAAGTGTTGCCAGCGTTCAAAAGGAGCTGGACTCAGTCAACGTCCAGAAGGCCAGTGCTGAGCAGAAGCTTGGCGAACTTCGTTCTGAGCTGCAGACTGCAGTTTCTGAAAGAGACGCCGCTCGTCAGAAGCTGGAACAGGGTGCCGAGGCAACTGGAAACTCAGTAAAGCCTGCGCCTACGGCAACAGGCTTGCCAGATGAGGAACGAGAGATGTTGCAGGCCAAGATTACGGCTGCAGAGGCGAAGGCTTCTGAGCACGAAGCCAAGGCCAATGAGATCGAGGCGACAATGCAACAAACTATCCGAGAACGCTCCGATAGGATGAAGGACACCCTCAACAATAAGTTGAAGGACTTCCGCTCCAAGCTGGAGGCGGAGTTTAAGAAGAAGGACGAGGATCTTCAACTTCGCTTTGAGCAGGAGAAACTCATCTGGCAGGCTGAGAACAGCAAGTCACCCGGTGACTCTAAGGCCGGTGGAGAGCCGCCTGCGACCCCTGCCAAGGCTGGGACTTCTTCTGTGCCAGCCACCCCGGGGACTTCGGATCTTGCGCAACTTGACGATGCAGGCATTCGCCAGTTCCTGTCTAACAATGTCACGGCTAAGAACATCATCTCTTCGAACATTAGAAAGCGCGTCGAGACCGAGAACGCGAAACTCAAATCTGAGTTCGAAAGCAAGATGAAGGCAGAGGTTGACGCCAAGATTGCAGCCGCACGTGAGCAAGCTCAGCTCATGGAATCTAAGAAATCGACCTTGCGCATCAACATGACTGAGAACAAACTCCGTGCCGCAAATGCTAAGATTGGAGTTGTCGAGGCGGCGGCTAATGAGACGCCGCAGAAGCCAGTCGTTGAAGTTTGGGAAATTGCCAAGAGCACGCAGCCTCCCCCGGCACCAGCGGCCAACAACGCAACGCCCAAGGGTACCAGCACTCCGGTGAAGCCTACAATTCCAGCAAAGCCAACAGCCACATCGTCAACCCCCGCAACACCCACAGGAAGCGCCTCAGCACCTGCGGCCAACCCCTTTGCGGCGTCTACCACCAGCAATGCAGCAGCGACCGTTCCGGCGAACCCATTCGCTGTGAAGACACAAGGCGACAAAGGCCCCGCAGCAGCCCCGGTGGCCACCCCGGCCACAGCCGGTACAACGGCCCCGAGCAGCATTCCACAGCCACAGCAGAACCAGGCCCCTCGGGGGTCGGCTATTCCCATGCTACGTGGCGGTGGTCGCGGACGCGGGGGGCCATATGTCCATCCTGGTCAGCGTCATGCCAGTGGCAACCAAGACGGTGGCCTGCAAACGGGAGCAGGTAGGGGTGGACGTGGCGGCGCTCGTGGTGGGCGCGGCAACCTGAATCCTGGCGCCTCAGACTTCCAGCCCGGAGCAAAGCGTCCAAGGGGGGATTCGGAAGCCGGGGCCGGTGCCAAGCGAGCCAGAGGTGGCGGCCCCCATTAGAAGAGAGCATGCCTTTCCAGTGGTGGCTGAAGAAAGGATTTGGATGAGGGTAGTAACGGATGTAGTCGGAAATGCACCTGTATTATGATGATGTTTGTTAAATGGGGAAAATTGCTTGGTTGCCTTTTTACGCCTAGACGGCGCGCTATACATGTACACTTTGTTCTCAAAGATGAGATGCCAAATTTACACTCTAATTTTCTTTGTTATAAGAAGCGATGAATGATGGTGTTTGTGTCGGCCAGTGTTGATGTTCCTAGGGATGGCTGTATGTCTGTAGGACTGCCAGTTGGCCGAACCTAGATGCATTACTTCAGAAATTCATATGGGACTTGAAAATCAGTTTTCTGTCAAATCCATTATTGGATAGCTCAAATCGCATTCCAACATACCTGGAGGCAAGACGATAACGCACAGTACCTTGTCGGTGGATCGGCGGAAGTGGCGCCGACACCTGGAAAAAAAAAGTGGCTCGTTAAGATGGCAGAAAAAAAAAGGTTCAAAAACGCTTGTGCACAGAACAAAAGCTGCAGTCTCCAGGAAACGCATGTCAGAATCGGCCCGGAACTCGAATCAAAAATATCAAGACATGGGTTTGCCCAACAAAAAGCGCAAGCAGCAGTCGGCTGCCGGCCCCCATGCAAAGCGCAGCAAAGGTGGCAAGCAGAGCATCCCCCGCCACCGTGTCGAAGACGCCGGCTCGCTGGCGTGGCAGACGTTTGGTGAAGAGTTTGGCGGCCTCGAGGTGATTGAGGGGGTCGACGTCATCAAGGAAGGCGACCGCGTGTCCTTCCTGGTCGCGGCAGACACGCCCGCGGGCAAGGCCGCGGTGGCCAAGGACCAGGAAGACGACGGCGACGACGGCGAGGTGTTCGAGGGCTTTGGCGATGACGACGACCACGTAAATACCAAGGACGACGAGACAAATACAACGGAGAAGGCGGAAACGATACCCGAGGCGAAGAAGAAAGCGGAAAAGAAGACGAAGAAAACGGCGCCGATGAATGCGCTGGATCGCAAGCTGGAGGCGCACACGACGAGCCAGAAGAAGCAGAAGGGCGGCAGCGCGCAGACAAACTCCTTCGAGGCGCTGATGGACGCAGACGACGACGATGACGGCTTGAACCTGGAGGCCTGGGTCGCGCTGAACCTCTCGCCAGCGGTGGTCTCGGCCGTGGGCAAGCTTGGCTTTGCCCGCCCGACCGCGATCCAGGAGCAGTCGATCCCGCAGATCGCCGCCGGCGCCGACGTCATCGGCAAGGCGCAGACGGGCTCCGGCAAGACGCTGGCCTTTGGCATCCCGATAGTCGAGCGCTGGCTGGAGCTGCGCGACAACGACGAGGAAGATAAGGAGGCGGATGGGGAGGAGGAAGAGGAGAAGGATGAAGGCCGGCGGCGCATCCCCACCGCGGTGATCCTGAGTCCGACGCGCGAGCTGGCCAAGCAGATTGGCAACCACATCATGGCCCTGTGCGAAGGGCTGCCGTCGGCGGCGCCGTTCGTGTGCGTGGTGACGGGAGGGCTGAGCATCCAGAAGCAGCAGCGGCACCTGGCAAGGGCCGACATCGTCGTCGGCACCCCTGGACGCCTGTGGGAGGTCCTGGACGGCGACGTGCGCCTGCAGCGCGCATTCAGCCGCGTCCGTTTCCTGGTCGTCGACGAGGCCGACCGGCTCTTCAAGGTCGGCCAGTTCAAGGAGGCGGAGCTCATCATCGGCGCGCTGGACCGGCGAAACCCGGAAGCGGCCGACTCCGATGACGAAGAGGACGAGGAGCACGAGGATGGGGAGGGACGCCCGACGAGGCAGACGCTCGTCTTCTCGGCCACGTTTGACAAGGACCTGCAGACCAGGCTGGCGGGCAAGAAGCGTCCGAGCGCGCAGGGCAGCACCGACGAGGAGAAGATGGCGTACCTGATGAAGTCGTTGAAGTTCCGCGGGCAGCCGAAATTTATCGACGTGAATCCCGTCAGCCAGATGGCCGAGGGCCTCCGCGAGGGCCTCATTGAATGCGGTGCCATGGAAAAGGTGAGAGGCCCGACCCCAAGAACAGTGAAACTCATCATCATCTGTTCATTGCTAACGATTCTTATCTTAGGACCTTTACCTCTACTCGGTACTGCTTCTCAACCCCGGCCGGCGGACGCTCGTCTTTGCCAACTCCATCTCCGCCGTGCGTCGCCTCACGCCCTTCCTGCAGAACCTCAACATCGCCGCGCAGCCGCTCCACTCGCAGATGGCGCAAAAGGCGCGCCTGCGCTCCCTCGAACGCTTCACCGCCGGCGGCAGCCCCGTGCTCGTCGCCACCGACGTCGCCGCGCGCGGCCTCGACATCCCCTCCGTCGACGTGGTCGTGCACTACCACGTGCCGCGCGCCGCCGACACCTACGTGCACCGCTCCGGGCGCACCGCCCGCGGCGCCCACGCCACCGGCGTCAGCGTCCTGCTCTGCTCCCCCGACGAGGTGCTCCCCACGCGGCGCCTCGCCGGCAAGGTGCACGCCTCCCGCCGCGGCGGTGGCAAGCGCGAGCACGTAATCGAGACCCTGCCGCTGGACAAGAAGGTGGCGGCGAGGCTGAAGCCCCGCGCGGACATGGCGAAGGCGCTGGCGGACGCGGCGCTGGCCAAGGAGCGCGCGCGCGGGGAGGACAGGTGGCTGCGCGGCGCGGCGGACGACCTGGGCGTCGAGTACGACTCGGACGAGTTCGACGCGGGAGGCGCTGGCGGGTTTCGGGGAGGACGGGGTGGCGGGCGGAAGCGCAAGGAGAAGGAGGCGGCGGGGCTGAGCAAGGCGGAGACGGGCGCGCTGAGGGCGCAGCTGCGGGAGGACCTGGCGCGCAGGGTCAATCTGGGCGTCAGCGAGCGGTACATCGCGGGCGGCCGCGTGGACGTGGCGCGGCTGATCCGGGAGAAGGAGCAGGCGTCGGTGGGAGGGCTGTTTCTGGGCGGGGACGACTCGTTCGGGTTGGGGTTTGGCGTGAGGCTGTAGATGTATATACCCCTTGAAAAGAAGAGAAAAAGAGTTTTGTGTTTTTACGCGGCATGCATGGGTTAAGAAGAGCATTCTGTTTTTTTAGTAGCAGCAGCACTTTGTTGTATTCAAAAGCAATAACGATTAGAGCTCGTTTTCCTATAATTCTTCTTCTCGCTTGCTATGATGGTCCGTGGTCGAAAGCAGCGGAAACGTGCCCCAGTCGCCGTCGTAGAGCCCGTCCAGCGTGCGTGTGTACGCGTCCCACCGGACCGCAGAGTCCGTGTCCATGATGCGCGATGCCACGCTGCGCTGCGACGCCTCCTGGTCGTCCGCCTCGGTCCGCGGCCTCTTGGGCGCGGGCAGGTCCGGCCGCTCCTCGTCATCCGGGCCGACGTGTCTCCACTGAGACGACGACGACGGCCGCTCCGAGATATTCACAGAGGCTAACTTCGACGTCTGCGTGCTCCGCGCGTCTTCGTCTTCCTCCGGCGGCGGAGGGGGAGGGTCCGGGTACGCCACCTGCAGCATCCGGTCGTACGCAAAGTCGGTGCCGGAGCAAAACTCGCCAAAGTATGAGGCAATGGAATGGCCTGGTCATGGTGTGTCAGTGTTGAAAGAGCGGCGCGGGGAGTATGTGTTTTGTTGGGCCCGTACCGTTACGCCACCACCACCGGGCGTCCTCTGTGCACGGCCACACGTCGAGCGGTTTGAAAGTGCCGACCAGGTGGCAGAGCTCCTCGTAGGAAGAGTGCCGGGCATAGGGAAAGCGAATCACGCGTGGCAGACTCGTCGCCAGCGGCGTTGTGTTGTTGGGGTTCGAATTGCGTCTGCGACTTAGCATGGTGGCCAACTTGTCTATGCTGGTCGTGAGGCCCTCTCCAAACAGATCCATTGTCAAGCCGAGGGGCATGTCTCGTCCCGATGTCATGGTCTGGAGTAGAGATTGGAAGAAAGCGGCGTCATCTTGGCCGACTTCTTTCATGCTAGCCACTACAGGTCAGCGACTTTACTCTTGAATAGAAGGTCGCAACAAGGCTTACAGCTCCTGCAGTGCGGTGACATCTTGGGGTGATAAGGACCCCAGCACAGCATCCCGCTGAAAGTCATTCCCGCCGCCGCCGACTCCGGCCTCGACAATGTCTGTCCCGTCGCCTAGATGCGCCACAATCGGCTGTATCCTCACAACGTTTGGCTCGCTCGCGACGGCGCACAGGTTTCCCTTTTCGCAACTGTGCAGGCGAGCGCCCTCGTCCGCCGTGAGGCAGCCCGGGTGCCACGCGTTGCCGCACATGTACCCCGTCAGCGCCGCGAACCGATGGTCGCCGGTCTTTCCCGACAGGGCCGTGTATATCCTCATCTTGTACTCGTCAACATGGACCTGCATCAGCTTAGCGGCAGTCAGTGGCGAGACGGGGCGTTGGCGTGAGACGGACCTTGGACCCGAGGGCCTTGGAGAGGGCGAGCCAGACTTCCTCGTAGCCGTACGTCCAGGTTTGAAAGTAAAACACCGTGTCGGATGGATAGAGAGCGACCTTGCGCAGAAGCTCGGCAATGCCCTCTCGCTTGGTCTGGAACGGAACGTTGTCGGTGAAGGAGGTGTCGAGGTAGATCTTGTCCAGCGTGCGGATGCCGGACGTATACTCAACCAAGGCCGGGTGCCTGGCGATGGAGTTGACAAACCAGGGCTCACTCCGAATATCACCGGTATACAGGACTGCCGTGTCATCGCGCTCAATCACTTCCACGGGGAGCCACATCAGCCTCTTGGCACAGGGCGACCTCTTACTGGCATCTACTCACAGAACATGACGGCCCCGGGGCAATGGTTTGCATCGAACAAGGTGACTTGTATCTCCAAGTTCGGAGCCAACTCCAGCCTTGTTGGGGTTTCCAGGGGTATAGGCTTCTGTTCACGGCAATCAGCCCTCTCTGCAGCTCGTGTACCCCAAGCTCGGGGTCAACGACACTCACCAGCAGGTTGCCGAGGTGCTTGTACGTTTGCTGCCTCGCTTCCAGCAGCTCCTTGGCATAGTTTACACGACACGGGTATCTCTCCAGCCGCAGCAGAATCTCACGGGTGGCGGCGGAGCAGTAGACGCTGGGAAGACATTAGATCTCTCTCTCTCTCTCTCGTGCACGACGCACATGGCTTTTTCCTTACAACGGCGAACGCAGCGCGTCCAGCCCGGCGAGGTGATCGCTGTGGACATGGCTGAGGAAGCAGGCGAGTGGGGGTAGGCGTCCCTCGATTCGGCGGAAGAAGTCAACTGAACAATGGTCAGACAAGGTGTGATATCGGGGACAGGGGGGGAAGGGGGTGCATGAAACAGAAACGGACTTTGAATTTCGGGAAACTCCGACAGGACACCGCCGAACGTGGACATGCTTCTGGCCCCTAAACATCAATAATAAGGTTCAGCGCTATGAAGATCACCCCGGCATCCTGGAGTGCATTGTCATGGCAAAGGAAATCCCGAACTTGCGTGCGTTTGCCGTCAAATGTCAGATGTCGAGGCTAGGTTTTGATCAACCAACGGGGACGGAAATGTGAGTTGGTCATGGACCCCACATTCATCAGGCAGGCAACGGTCACCCACGCCCTGGCGGGAGGGAACTTTTGATTTTCTGCATCAGAGTTCAAGGATTATGCAAATCAAAATCAAATTCATGGCTTGGCTCCTCTATGAATAGGTACATGTCCCATCTTACATGCGGAAAAGTCTTTGTCCCTCGATCCTAGCGCGCACCTCCCATCCATCCATCGCATCCCACCTTAGTCAAAGTGGATGCGCCACAGCTCACGATCACAGCCCGACTTGAAGTCGCTGCGCGTGTGCATCATCAAGATGTTGTCGCTGACCACGACGTCACCCTTCTCCCAGGCGTGGTAATACGCGACACGGCGGTCGTGCAGCGTCTCGTCAATCGCCTCGCACAGCTTCGCGCTCTCCTCCGCCGACATGCCCTCGATGACCACGTTGGTCGCGTCAAACTTGGTCTTGGTCTCCGGCCAGGGCTCGTGGTACCGCAGGCAGGGGCGTCCGGTCGTCGGGTGGGAAGAGACGAGCGGGATGCCCGTCATCGCGGTCGCGTCGAAGGACGAGGTCTGGACGGACCAGGTCTTCTTCTTGAGCTCCTCAACGTCCACCCACGAAGGCAGGTACTTGAAGAACTGGGTAGATGAGGAGAAGAGGGTGAAGCCCGTGTCCTTGGGGGAGGCGCTGGCGCCGATGAAGAACTGGAACTTGGGAGGCGTGGAGACGAGCACCTCCTCGCCCTTGTCGTTGGTCTGCTTGACCGTCTTGAAGAGGCCGTCGTAGTGGAAGGGCATCCACTCGGCCGACAGCACGTTGTTGAGGCCGGCCGTGTTGGCGCCCTGGTCCTTGACCTCGAGGATCAGGCCAAACTTCCAAGGGAGAGGCGTGCCAAACTGGTGCGCCTTCTCCACGTATAAATCACGGTCGATGGTCTGCGCGAAGCCGCGGATGATGACCGGCGAGTTGTGCTCCGCGAGGGCGCGGACCTTCTTGGCGTCGACGTCTCGCATGGAGAGCGCCTTCTTGCCCTTCTTGGCGGTGATCATCCAGCCGGAGGGGTAGATGGGCGCGCAGTCGATGCCGCCCTTGTCCTCGCCCCAGGAGAAGAGATCCGACTTCTCGCGGAAGTAGCTGGGTCGCCCGTTTTCGTGTACGAGCTCGAGCTTATCGTCCTGCTCCAGCTCGGAACGCATGCCGGTCTGGATGGTACCGTCGAGCATGTAGGCGACGCTGCAGTGCCAGGGCGTGGTGTAGATGGAGTTGGTGGGCAGCAGGCTGATGGAGAGCTTGGTGGCGCCGGTGGAGGGGTGGATGGACAGACGGACGTAGTCGCCATATCGTTTGCGAACCGCGTTGGCAAAGGCCTGCGAGAACTGGTTAGCATAGTTGTTACAATGTCCATGATAAGGACGTTTACTTACATCACCGCGAGCAATCATCTCACGAGCAATAGTCTCGAGGCCGCGCTTGTACTTGGACTTGGAGCGGCCTTCGCCAACAGGATATACGTGGGCCAGATCGGTCTCGAGGAATCGGATGTAGCCCCGATATGTGAGGCAGACATCCTCGCTCTGGCTGACTTCCTTCCAGTTCCAGTCTGGGCGGCTGAATGTGTTGAGGAGGGCGCGGCGGAAGTTGGTGGCGTTGGAGACGTATGTGATCTCGTCGAGCTCATCGGGGAGGTCGATGGAGACGAGGTCGCGCAACCGGCAAAACTTGACGTTGGTGTACTCGCGCTCGATGGCGAGTTGACGGAGGGCCTCGCCGTACGCCCAGACGTCCTTGTCGGCAACTCCTAGCAAGTCTAGACAACACGAGGGTTAGCATCATGGGCACTAGTTAGGGGCTTAATTTTTTGCGCACCATTGTATACCAGGCCGTCGGAGATGATTGTGAGCTTCGCGCCGGGGGCGTGGACACGCTCGATGGAGGCGCAGAGGCTGTTGAGGTGGGACAGGGCCAGGTCCTCGGCGCGGTCGGGTAGCTTGCCCAGGACCTTGGAGGTCGAGTTGGGGGACTTGAAGGGGAAGGCGGGCAGGCACATGGGGATGGCCTGGCCGGCCTTGACGTGGGTGTAGATGAGGGCGAGGAACTTGAGGGCGCCCTCGTCGGCCTTGGTGCTGGTCTCGGCGGCCTTGCGCATGCGATACCGGTCGACGATCTGGAGGACCTTGGCGGCGGTCTCGAGCGACTTGACGTCGAGCTCGGCGGTCATGGGCGAGGCCGAGGAGAAGATGGGGATCTGGTGCTTGGCCGCCGGCGGCGAAGCGGACGTGCTCTCGTCCATGGCCATCTTGGGAGGAGTTTGGGGGGGGGAGTTGGGGACTGCCTGATAGGCCGGGTCCGCGGTGGCGAGTGACGATGCCATTTATACGGAAGAAGGGGGAGGGTGTTTTGGGGGGGAGGGGGGGAGTTGAGAGAGTGTGTTAATGAGGAAGAGAGTTTTGCATGAAACACTGGACTGGATGATGGCAATGATGATGGTGGTCGAGGCTAGTTAGTTCGGGACGAGGTGATGTATATATATATATGTGCGTGTGTGTATGCGTGTATAGCATGAGGAGGATGTTATTAGATTGGAAGATGGAGATGTCGTTGGAGAAGGCAAAAGCCTAGTACCTGACTACTAACTAGCAAACTGACTGCTTCCCAGCAAGATGTCATGCACAGTAATTAGGTAGCCAATGCCAATGCCAATGCCAATGCCATGCCACTAAAAAAAATCGTCTGCAGCGGTCTGGTCGGTAGTAGAGTTGCAATTACAATGGAGCGTGCATCCATCGAGAACCGAGGGCAGAGTCAGTGGCGCGCCTCTCAAAACATTCCACTGTTCAGAATAGGCAGGCGGGATGGCCGCAGGGGGACGAGTCTGCGGGTTTGGACTCCACGTGAAGGCCGGAGAAGCCACCAGCTGACGCATCTGAGAATTGATGCTTGAATTATAGATGGGCTCCACGAGGAGTGGGATGGGATGGAAGGGATTGCAAGGGACTGAGTTTGAGTTGGCTGATCAATAGGAACAATGAAAGAATTAAGCCGGGCCTGCTATGTTATGCCCTACTAGGAGGGGTAACTAGTGGGTGGTGACGACGACGATGGGCTTGAGTTGACTGACTTATTGACTGACTTACTGACTCTCTTGCTACAGAAGAAGAAGCCCCGACTCGCGCTGCATGGGCCTGTAATAACTGCCAAACTCCTAAAAACTTACTGGTTCGAAATGGACATACATGATTGCTCATCAACAGCTGATGTGGGAGGAGGTAACTAGGGAGTCGTGATAACGATGGAATATAGCCCGGGAGTTGTTTTGTTGTACTCTTATTTTTTTTCTCACATTTGTCATGGAATTTCTTTGCGTCTTATCGTAGAAAAGAAAATGGCATGACGAGACCTCATTCTAGGCCGACAAAGTCGAAAAGTCACGAACTTTTCTTTCCCCTCACAGGACTAGGGGCTTGCCGAGTTGATGAGACCCGACTAACGGTGGCCCTCGCTAAAAGAGCCTGAGGAAAAAAATCGCCTTGCCTAGCCGGGTGATGCCTGTCTCCTGTCAGCGAATATTTGACCGAGTTGACGTGCCGCTAACTGAGCACTATGTCTGAAGCGTGTGGCCTGGTCTTGGTTTGGATGTAACACGATGCCATCCATACATGGCCATATAGCCATACATAGCCATTACACAGCCCGTACATACACATACATACATACACAGACAGACAGACAGACAGACAGACACATACATACATGCATGCATCCGTAGCCGGCGCGCCCGCAAAACTGGAGACACGGGCGGGAAAAGATGAGAAACAGTACGGAGGCATTTATTGCTTGATTGTTGCCTGCTTCATTAATATATCGAGTGCCATATTAAAACACCTGGTAGGACGTGTGTGTTGTTTGGACAAGGCGTGCCTTGTTGCTGTTGTTGTTGCTGTTGTTGTTGTTGTTGCCTGCAGCTAATCAAGAAACAGATGAATGATCAACGACACCACCACCACTACCCGGTGACCTCTCTAGTTACGTCAACAGTGACACAGATTGACCAACTTGCCCAGCTTTTTTTTTCTGCCCAGTTTTTTTTTTTTTTTTTTTTTGGTGGAAAAAGAAAAAGAAACAGAAAAAGAAAAAAATACAGACGATCGAGTATAATGCCCGGCCGGCTACTGCGGGTGCAGCGGAGCCCTGAGAGCCACGATTGCAAGTAAGCTTGTTCTGAAGTACCTGCCAAGATGTGTTGGGAACCGTACCACGGGCCACCCAATAACAACAGCCCATCTTTAATTTCCGGGCCTTTCTTTTTTTCTGCTGTGATGCAGATCCAGCATCGTTAATTTTTAGCCTCTTTTTTTTTTTTTTTTTTTACCCTAGGGGGGGGGGGGGCCTAAATGCCCTGGTCGTGGGATGGCCGCTTCATCTTCGAAAGAAAGAGAACTGACAACCACCTGAACCTCTCGGTTCGGGTGCATAACAAAACCTAGCGGAGACCCTGTGGGACGGCGAGGTTTTGGATTGCGACGTGGCCTAGCTAGGCTTGTTCGGGATATGGGATAAGGGGATGATGGGACATGACGAGTGGAAATAGGAAGGCGGCTATGTAGGTTCATGACAAAGTCTCGTTGCAAAGGCCGTCGGGCGAATCCGTGGTGAGAGAAAAAGGGAAAAAGGCACGACTTGCATGATACCTCGCATGACTCTACTAGCCAACGTACAAAATTGGCATTTATACTTGGTTCCTTCCAAACAACTCGACCAACTAAGAACTCTGCACTCATCCTTGGTCTCTGCGTTCATATTTCATCTCTACCTTGATCTCTCAACTCTACCTTATCTCTCATCTCTACATTCATCTCTCATCTCTACATTATCTCTCATCTCTACATTCATCTCTCCAATACCTCAACTTCCCCAAAACTTACATCCAATACCCACAATGCCGTCTGCCATCGACGAGACCTCCTCCCCGACCGTTGTCGATGTTGCCATCTGCGGCGGTAAGCTTCATATTGGTGTCTTCGTCATATCACGAGCCTAACCTGAAAATTAGGCGGACCTACTGGTCTGGCAACTGCCCTGCTCATGAAGAGACTTGGAGTCTCAGTCTGTGTCATCGGTATGCACCGTCCCGTCCCGGATGAGAACAAGTCCCAGACACCCAGCACTCGGCTAACAGAGTTCAGACGCCAAGCCCGCAAGCCTTGAGCTTGGCCGTGCCGACGCCCTCAACGCACGCACCCAGCAATATCTCGAGGTCGCAGGCCTCCTCGACGAGCTGCTGCCCCAAGGCATCACCTGCAACAGTGAGTCGTCCCCTTGTCAACGTGCCGACACACCTACCCTCACAGACGCTAACACCACACCCCCCAGCCAGCTCTACCTTTGGCGACGGCGAGTTCAAGTCGCGCCAAAACGACTGGTGGGTGAACCTCGAGCACTGCCTCCACCGCAACTTCCTCATGCTCGGCCAGCCCGTCGTCGAGCGCATGCTGTCCGAGAAGCTCGGCCCCGAGAGCGTCTTCTACGGCGAGCAGGTCGCCTCCATCCACGAGGACGCCGACGGCGTCGACGTCGTCACCAGCCGCGGGCGCCGCGTCCGCTCCAAGTACGCCCTCGGCGCCGACGGCGCCCGCTCCATGGTCCGCAAGGCCATCGGCGCCTCCTTCACCGGCACCAAGCCCGAGATGCTCTGGGCCGTCCTCGACACCTTCATCGACACCGACTTCCCCCGCTGCTCGGAGATCATTACCTTTCAGCTCAACGGGCAGTCGCGCGTCTCGTGGATCCCGCGCGAGCGCGGGCTCTGCCGCTTCTACGTGCTCCTCGACGGCGAGGTGTCGCTGGAGCTCGCGCAGCAGTCCATCAAGGACCACATGGCCCCGCACAAGGTCGACTTCACCAAGACGGAGTGGTACAGCACGTTTGACGTCAAGGAGCGCATCGCCTCGACCTTCATCTCCAAGGACGGCGAGGGGCGCATCTTCCTGGCGGGCGACGCGGCGCACGTGCACTCGGTCAACGGCGGGCAGGGCCTCAACACGGGCATCGCCGACGCGTTCAACCTGGCCTGGCGGCTGGCCGCGGTGGTCACGGGCGGCGTGGAGGGCGGGGAGGCGGCGCGGAGGGTGCTGAGGAGCTATGACACGGAGCGGAGGAGCACGGCGCAGGGCGTGATTGACGTGGCGGCGAAGCTGGTGCGCGATACGGTGCGCGAGGCCAAGACGTACGTGGGCACGATCGAGCGCAACGCCGGCTACATCACGGGCATGGGCGTCTCGTACGAGGCGTGCGGGTCGCCGCTGGTCGAGGCCTCGCAGCACGGCATCTGGAGGGCGGGCTTCAGATGCCCGGACATGGTCATCAAGCCGCTCGCCGGCGGCGAGGAGAGGCGGCTGTACAAGCAAAACGACTACGGAAAGTACCTGCTGCTGTCCGTGGGCAAGCCGGCGGCGAGCAAGGACTCTAGCCTCCCGGTTACGAGATACTCCGTCCTTCCGCCGCAGGGAGCGGCGGCAGATGCCAGTCTGGATAATGCGTTCACGGGCGACTGGGTTACCGCGGAGGACGCGTTCCACGTCGTGGTGCGGCCGGACATGTACATCGCCTTTGTCAGCGAGAGCCTGGAGGCGTGCGAGGCGCACCTCAACAAGGTGTTCCACGCCTAAGGTTGGATGGGATGGGGATTGGCAGCAGGCTGGCCATTGCATTTGCATGTACTCTAAACAAATAGAAGGAAATAGAAATCGTCTCAACCAAACCTCTCAACTTGTCCTTGAACCCCAACACGACATGCCTGCACTCAACTGACCAAGCAGAACCTCTAATCTCTGCACACCACCTCTAGATGATCCCCGTGTTGCTGTTTTCGTCACCGTCACCGTCACATCTCTGCCAAAGAGGGAACCTGCATAAACCTAACCCATGCTTTCTGTGGCTTGCATCGAATCGCGCAGGTCCAGCGTAACCCTGGCATGTATGTCCGTGTCAGTTTTACCGCCTTGCAGCCTGCATGCGCCCATCCATCCCCTCCCTGGTAAGAGAACAAGAAACACTTACCATGACACTGAATATATAGGATGGCCATTTAAGCTTCTGCACATGGCCCGGCTTGCCGCGTTGTCCGGGGCCACGTCCGCCGAGCTGAGGTCGCCGGGACCGAACCAGGCCACCTTTTCGCGGAGCAGCTTGGAGCTTATCTTTCTCGCCAAGCCTCGGTTCCTATACGGCTCCTTGATGAACACGAAGAATTAATCTACACGTCGCAATTCAAATCAATCAAATGAAAACAGGACACAAACCTCGCAGTGGACAGAAATGAGGGAACCGACGCTGTCTATTAGTGCTTGGTTAATTAATATAGGCGCCCCGGTTCAGCCTCAGTGGGTGGATAGTCAATGCGGGAGATGTTGTTTAAACTTCTGGGGCAAAGGAAGATGGTGATACGTACCTAGGAAGGCCCAGGACACAGGGGTCCCGTCGAGAAGCTTGATGAACAGACTGGGCATCTGGACAAGATATTCGCTAAGAAGGAAGCCGCGGGATGTTGTTAGTCACCGAAAACGCCGAGGAGGGGAAAGGGGGGGGGTCGAAAGCCTGAGTCGTGGAAATGCGGTTCCGAGTTGACCGCTTTGAGGCTTGGACTTGAGACTTGGGGATTGATAATAATAAAGAGATAAATGACACACACACGGGTCGCGGAATATCAGTGCGCGAGGCCACGACCTCGCAGTCCTGCAGGCTTCCGGAACCCCAGACCATGTCCTCCGGCAGCGACTCGTCCAGACGGGGAACCTGGCCGAGGTCGAAGAGCCACTTGTCGTAATGCCCGCCCGGTCGAGGCACGACGCGACCCGTCTTCTCCCACAGGCCGCGGATGCGGGAATGCAGGCTCCCTAGAACCACGGTGGCCTGAAGATTCGGCCGCACGCCGTCCTGGACGACGCGGCGTAGCCGGATCAGGGCATGCAGGATCGTCTCCAGCTGACCCTCGGTTTCTGCTACGGCGGTGGCCCCGGGCGGCTCGGGGTCGTCCTGGAGGGTCGAGTACAGGTACATGGAGGTGCTCTGGGCGACAGTGGTGCTGATGTACGCCATGGTGAAGGACCTTGGCGGTTGACGCGGCGGGACTTGGCCGCCGTTGGCGACGGGTACGCCATCCGATGGTGACGGTGACGGCGAGGAAGCTAGCAGGATCTGGGGAAACTTGGCCTTGGACAAGGACGCCCTTCGTCGGAGATACTGGACCTTGCGCAACAGGGTAAGCGAGTCGGGCAGATGGGCCAGGAGAAGCTTCTCGAGGTCCTCCGGTGGCGTGACAAACGTCTGCAAGTTGTTTTGTTCGAGCATGACTTTTTTGCTCGACATGCAAGATGTCAATTGCCGACGGGGTGAGCGCAGGATGGGCGGATGTAGAAGACGATGACAGATTGCCGATAGATTGGTTGTCCTTGACTCCTTTCCCAAGTTCACACTGCTAACTAACTAGTGACCAAGGTTTGTTACTCCGTAGTCTCGAGCCAAAACATGAAGGACCCACCCCATCTCAAGGCCAACAATCGCCTCGTCTCGAGGGTCGACTCATAGTCGGCCCGGCCATGATAAAGCAATGGCTGTTACACTCCCGGCTATGGCAGGGTATCTTGGTGCGGCTACTTGCGGCCCGGGCCCTTGGGGCGCGATTCAAGATATCCGACGCCATCCCCCCCGGACTCGCAATGGGTTACCCGAATCGTCTTGTGTGATGTTCTCCAGGATGAGTTTTGAGTTTAGGATAACCTCTCAACTGACTAGCGGCAGCGCGGCAAAGCTGCAGTGCATCGGGGGACTGCCTGAATCATGCTTCTTGTCGGACTACTCGGCCCAGAAAATTTTCAAAACAAGGTCGCTAGTTGCTAATGTTATATTACATGCATAGTTATCGGGTATCGAAGAAAAAAAAAAAAAGAAGTAGAAAAAAGTTGCAAAGCACGGACTGACACGAAACCCCTTCCTTGCCAAGAGCACAAAGGGCGGTGTCAGCTCGCTTTGACAGTCTGGCCTCCCCCGTCCCGATCTCCCTCCCGATCCGGCCATGAGCGGTATCCGATGCATGAACAGTCCTTTTCGCCATGTCCGCACCATCACTCGTCACCGCTCCAGGATCGCAAAC